GGTCGCATAGCAACTGACATTCAGTAGGCCATATGTGTAGTTTGCACTGTCCACTGTTTACGCAGACACCTATTTTTAATTTTCACTGATGCCAGCCAAAATATGATTTTCGATCTAAGGCTATTTTTACATCTGGCGAGGGGAAATGTCATCAACTGAAATGCACTATCTTTATAGTCTCCTTTTTCGGAAAGAGCGCCAACGTAAAAATTCGTTGCTTGGACAAGATTGTGGGGACACTCGTCATGGCTGTGAGCAGTTTGCCATGATAGGAGGATTGTGGTATCTCCCAGACAAACAGCATATTGGATTAGTTGTGTTAAACATGGTACTGACATAAAACAGTAAAATTTTAAGTTGGCACTTGAAGTCCTTTAGCCCCTCACCACTCTATACAGCATAAAACAAGACCATATTTACAGGCGACCACGACATTTTCTGGTTTTGCGAAGCCTACGGGGCAGACAATTGTTATTCTTTATGACTAACAGCCGACTGACGTCGAAAGTTTAAAAATATGTACATCGCGGTCAACCGACATGTGGCGGATTGTAGTATTCAACGATTGGAAAACGAGTGTTCCCTGGAGAATATTTTGGCTGTGTATTTCTTTTAATTCATAAGAGGTTAGTACACTGCAAAGGAACCAACCTGTCTGAACCTGAAAAATGCTATTAGTTGATTATACCCCAGAATTCACATTATCGTAAAAAATCGCACACACACTTTATTTGTGATATGGAACCTTACCGAACACATGCCATTTCAACTACTCTGTAGATGACAACTGTACTTTAGTTAGTGCTTGACAGCGCACTTAAGCTGCTGGTCGCTACAACTTGCAAGCTCGCCGCAAAAAGGGTGATGTGGCCAGGATACATATGACGAAATTCAGCTAACTACAGAAAAATGTTTTTAATCTAAATTTTGAAATTTTTCAATGATCATTAGATCATGCCTAAGAGGAAGTTAAATTGTGACGTTTTTGCGCAGTTTCTGCGCAGCTATTTGCAGATATGCCCACAGACTATCGCTGGCACAGTACTCGGAGGAAGAAGGCCAGTCGAAAAGTGGATGTACCGTTTGATAAAATTGCATTTTAGAATTTGCCCCCGAGGACATCTTCAAAACTGGCAACAGTAACATCGTAAGCTGCACTTCTAACGGTCGTTAACTAATAAGTTACCAATGCCTCGGGGCTGGAGGTGCATGCTAACACTAACTAACACGTTTAGTGGCTTATGCCTCACCATAGGACCAGACTTTTATGGGTCCTGAACTCTATAGCCTCAAACATTAAAGTTATCTGAACGGCATGGCAAATTTCTGGCGTACGATCCCTACCTGCTGTAGACCAAGACATGCGTCTGTGCCGTTCTCCTTTAAGTGGCAGCTTTTAAAGACCTCAAATATTTTAGTGGTGGCGCGTTTGAAGGCGCTAAGATATGTTTAGGCCGTAGAATGCTAGTATTGTTTAAGTCATCGTCGAATCTAGAAAATCGGATATCAAAACCACATGGTTAACCGGTTATTTAGTTTTCGATAGATCTTCGCACATATTCGTCTTCTTTGTGGACCTGCATTTCAGTAACATGGAGGAACTCAATTTTGGCATCTTGAAAGTTTTGAGGCAAACGTCGTGGTTTAACTTGATCATTGCGGCTCCAGCAACGATCAAGTAAAGTTCTTTTATATCCTGCTATCAGAAAAACCTGTTCTGCGATTGATTCCTTACTATGCAGAAATAAGCTGTTTTCTGAACTGTCTAGAACAAGCCGAATCAAGAACTGTTCCTGTCGCATTATCACTGCATTTAGTCAATAGAATTAGTAAACTTTTTTACTATACTGACAACACAGGTAGAAGCTAAAAGGTCAGAATCTTTCGAAACGGCCTTTTCAGGCACGGTCCAAAGTTTGATATGAATATTTGAGCTGAAATCCATCAGCTACTGCGGAATAACCGCTTAATATTCACAAACCGCCAACAGACAGTCAGTAGTCTAGAACTGTGCAATAATTTACCGTACTAACAACACAGATATTAGGTAAAAGTCCAGACACGCGTGTTTCGCCGATATTTTGCCGCTGCCTGACACAGCTGCGAGGGGTTCGGCTCATCAGTGGTCTCGAGCCTTCTCCGTGTGTTTTCTGGTATATGAAATTCATTTTCACTCTGCCTCGCTTAGTATCCAAGGACATTAATGCGCGATCTTGAAGTAAATCCCTCGGAACAGACCTTTTCAGGCAGCGTCCGAAATTTGATATAAATATTTGGGCTGAAATTTATCAGCTACTGCGAAATAACCGCGTAATATTCACAGACCGCCAACAGGCAGGTATTAGTATAGAACTATGCAATTATTTAGCTTCTACGTGGTTGTCACTAAGGGAAATAGTTACATAATTGTATACAGCTGGCTGCCTTTTGTCGGTTTGTGAATATTACGCGGTTATTCTGCAGTAGCTGATGGGTTTCAGCCCAAATATTCATATCAAATTTTGAACCGTGTCTGAAAAAGCCTGTTCAGAAAGGATTAATTCCAAGGTCGAGCATTTATTACTTGAAAATTAAACAATGTGACAGCGTTTGCGGCCAGAACATTCGTATGGGGGGCAAGTTTCGCAAATTCAAATCGTACGAATTATTAGCAGTGTAACTGATCAAACCAGATTCTGATTCCTTAAGGGTCGCGGAATCCGTTGGACGTAATCTCAGGTAGAAATCACCAAATATTCGATCATTTACTCTCGTCAATAATCCGAATGCGATATTCAACTACATGGTTAGATCTAACAGGACAGGCAATCATTGCTTTTTAACTACCTGTCAGCATATGTGTGTTCCCAAAACTGCCTGGATGTTTTCCTTTTACAAATTATAGCAAGTCTTACAGAGTCGTCACCCATGTAACGCAGAAGTTGTGTGCAAGAATATCCGCGAGCTTTTTTTTCTAAAAACATTTAAGAGGGGCATGTAGCCTAGCTATAGATGTTCGTCCTTTTAATAGTATTTTCGTCAATTCGACTTGACAGGTACGCCAATCCTTATGTACTGATAGTCTGTAGGTTAGAACCACAGTTCAATATATCGCAAATGTTTAACCCACCGGAATAAAGTTATCACTACGTGTTCGCAAATATCAGTCGTTTTCCCGACTGAACATTTAACACACTGGAAAGTGATATTGTAAGCACGACAGTTTTCTAACAAACAGTCCTTTCAACCTATGATATAATAAAGGTTTATACATCGGATGCGCAAACGGCTACTGTTTAGAGACAGTAAAGGTACTTGTCGAAATTATTAATGCCTGGGTTTTCTTATCGTGGTAGTAACGATCGCGCAGAGGTGACCGTGAGCTGTTAATGGTGCGTGTAACGAAGTTCACTTTTTCAGATGAAGAATCAGGACAATTAGTTATCTGAATAGTACATGTTAGTTAAAAATCAATTCAATCGGTAACTTTAACTCTGCATTCTCACTCCCGTATGTGTCACAAGCAGCTGCTTTGTCTAGCCACCCTTGAAAACGTGTCCTCCCATTGCGATTGTTTTTGGATTGAGCTGTTAAAACAGTGATACTAATTGGTAAGTCCCTGAAATGCCCCACCAGCATTTAAATTTAGCTGAAACTGTTAGCCACTAAGTACCTATCAATCATTATTAATTTTTTATTAGCAGAAAACCTATAATTTTTGGATTCGCAATTTTTTTAAGTAGACGCTCCCATCTTTTCTTTACTTTTTGGGACTCATAGGTCATCGAACACCTTCTCCTAAGGAAACTTTAGTAGATATTATTTTCAATTTTTCATTTGTCCGGCAAGTCTGATTAATTGTCCAGAAACTCAAGACTGCCTTGGGCGGTACACAGCATGCACACAAATTTGTGTTCTCCAAACGGAAGGTTTTATGCCTCTAAATGAAATTGAATGTTTGTTTACGTTTGGCTGTATAATACAAATGCTAAAAACAGCTCTCGCACAATTATAGACCCCTTTTCAGGATATAATTGCATGTTAGCATTATTTTTATGTTCTAAAAACATTTGCATTAAAATGTTTCCCAGAAAAAACGGTTTCCTAATGCATACAAACGACAGGGTGGGACCAGCGCTTGAGTGAACACGCGGTTCTGCCCTGTAAAAGAAAATAATTTAAGGTGGAGCCTCTCCAACATTGCAGAATGAGTCGGAAACAATTTAAGGGTGTGTCTTTCTGCTTACGCCTAGAGGAACTTTTGTTTTTACGGTTTGTTAGCAGGTAAGGTAGTGGACGCAACGCGTATTTTTTTCTGTCAGTGAGTTATCACCAGTGAATAGTAGGTCTTGCAGTGGGTTATTTTTCGGTAACGACAGCTGAAATGTACCTTTATCCGCGATGACTGTCAGTGATGATAACCACGTAGACATATTAAAAGTCAAGCTCGGCAAACGTACGCTTTTGAGTATTCATCATCAGGTCTGTACAGAACTATAAGCGAGGGCAAATAGCAAAAGTAAATATCCAATGAAAGTAAGTGTGGGGAAAAGCGTTGAGGGGCGTTCATAAAGAGTTTAAATGTGCCCAACAAACTGCACGGCAATATTCTGTTTCAAATCGACCTAAGCCCCTCTGCCAGTCAGTTAGCAATTGCAAAATACTGGGAATAACCCATGTCCAATATCGATCGCATCGAAAGGTCTGGTTAATGGAACTTTCACAAACCGTATATTCTTTCGCCTATTGCGCCTGTGAGTTGAAGCGCTTTGAAGTTTTGTTCATCACAAAAACCTTGTTCTTTCAATTTCCGAAGAAATCTCGTAATTTGGGCATTTACACAATGTGTTTGGTCCTTATTTTCCCTCTCTATTTCTTTTATTTCCTTTTCGGAACACAAACACTTCCGTTCATTACAACAAGACCGGAAAATTTGCTTGGTTTTTTGATGCGCGTCTCCTTGTTTTTACGTAATTCACTGACTTCCTCGAGATGTTCTTTCGTGATGAGCTTGACTCTGAGGTGATTTTGCCCTAGGGTGTTCGTATCGACTATTCAAGAGGGTTGATTTGAATTACCCCGTTTCCTCCGGCGTCGTAGATACTAGGTCATACGTCAAATTTATTAAGTTTCCAAAATAAAATTCTGTTTGATCTTTGATTGTGAACAAATACTTAAGGCATCAGTGGGTTTCCTGTATGAAGTATTCTTTGGTTAACCTCTTTTCAAATGACAACCGACGTCCTCCGTCTACATGATAATTGATGTTGGAGAAGACACTCAAGCATGTTTCTTGGCAAGGCGCTCAAAAGGACGTCTTTTCCTCTAGTTATGACGTCACAACTTTAAGCCATGTTATAATGACGTATGTCAAACTGCCGAATCACCAAATATTCACCAGTTAATTGTTGCTTGTGCTGAAAATCCGCCTCCAGCGAGACATCGTACCAAGAGTTCAAACTATCCGTTGTTCGTTAATTGTAACCATCAGCATACCTACATATTAAAATAAGGGGCTGAAATGCGGTTTTTTGCTGAATTCCAGGACAAAAAATTAGGTGTAACAAGTGAATGTTGATGTTAATTTAATTTATTTTAAATTTATGACCCCCGGTATCTTGAAAACGTGTATTACCATACATGCTGAACGTCAAGTTGTATCCGCATCCAGAAAGGTATCTCAGCTTGCGCCGGAATACGAAAGAGATATATGCAGCGGTTTTGAAAATTTGCAACTATGGGTTATGTGGAGATCATGAAGTATCCATTTAAGTAGCATCGTGTCTGACCGTTTAATATGACTGCTTACGAACGGCGCAACAACGTCTATATTTTGTATAATATTATGTGGGGAAACTAAGGTACTTTCTCTATGGCTTAGAGGAATAAAGGATTTTTCTTACCTGGCATGTGCACAGCACAAAGACCCAGAATCCTTAACGCTAATGTGACGGCACGTCAGGTTCAAATTTATTCTGGAGTTTATACATTTCTTCGAAACTGATACATAGCCTTTCTAATAGCGTAGTGTGTAGCGATGTGGCTTTCTAACACATATGTAGAGGAAAGTTAATTTTCAAGCATTCATTAAGTAAAATACGTTTGAATTCATATGAAAATTGAAGCTAGATGTCAGCAGTATATGCTTATTAGGTATTCCGTCTTCCCGTCTGCGTTGTATAAGGTTTGCCGAGAAATGTGCATCCAATAGTCGGCACTCTGCTGTGCTGAAATTTCTTGAAAATCAGCCGCACGATGACTAGCTAGTCTTTCAACTCGAAAGCGTATTCCAAAAACTTTTATTTCTACAGCATGAGATAAATCAATGAATGTGAATGGATGCACACTTTCTTCACTGCCTATATTTTCAGTCACTATGTGATTGCCGTCAGGGTTCTGGATTGAGTTCGGAGGCCCAAAGGAACCTGCACATCATGTAGCCTGATTAGCTTTCTCGCCGACAATCAGGTTCTTAATGATCGTCAGTTTGCCATCGATATTGGTGGTTTGTGCGAACATTACTCATTCCTAAAGCCTAACCTTCCTGGTGTCGTGAGCACTTCTCACGCACAAGCCCCGGTAGTGTCGAATAAATCCACTCTGGCCAATTCTAACCACGAATACGTCCGCAGGCGGTCGTTTCATTTATTACCGATCTGAGGACTCCAGAGGATCATAGTTTGTGCAGATCGCAACTGATGCCCTTGTCAGTTTTCATGAGGATTTTGACCTTAATAAGGCCAAAGTTGTAATCTTATCTGGCCGACTGAGCTGCGATCTAAGTATCTACGCAAATTCCGAGCCAGAAAAAACTCCCTTCCGTCATTAGACACCACACTTTTCTCTTCTACACAAGCAGGAATTTAATAATTTAGGAGGATGTTAAATACTGGGTTGCGAATCCTGAAACGCTCTTTGCAGGTCTTTGAGTTTGCCTATCCGTCTCAACGGCTTTGACTGTATACTTTGTCGTTAAAATTAATGGATGTTCAAACCTTTGGAGCAGAGACTGCGAGTAAAGCCTTTTTCTAATTTAGTCGTTATAGTTTTTTTGAATCTGGTAGTCGTTTTGACTGAGCTGCTCCAGTCTATTTACACAAGTATGGAAAGGTTTTGTCGCTCCTCTTGCTATACATTCATTTCTACAGATGGAACAGACAACGGCATGGGCGCACTGTTTTGTATTTCTGAATTTTGGGTATGTTTTGGAGATCTTATCGCTGTAGGTTTGATTAAGTATTGCAGTTTTATGACAACATACTGTTGTTAAAGTTAGGAAGAGGCGTTGGTTTAATTCAGGACTTTAAGGGAACAATATACTAACGCTCCATTCGTAACTATATCTAAGAACTCCGGTTTTCATGTATGAATCCAGCTGAGGTAAAAGTCAAGAGTTTTGCCGGCTGAGATAAAAATTACTTTTAATGGTATATAACAGTACGATTGTCTGTTGAACCGACGCCGAAATTTTGCCCTGCCTATTTTCCTACATTTCCTAAAGAATTGTTAGATTTCAAACTACATATGCATATGTGTATACGAAAAAGCGACGACGCAGATGAGCGTAGAATGTTATAGCTCTCTCCCTCTCTCAGCTTTATTCACACTTCACTCGCCGGTAAACCATCTGGGACCGACAGTTCGAAGGTCGTGTCCGTCGATGTCTACCGTGTGCCCCGCACGATGCTGAAACAGGCACGGCGACTTGCGAGTGAAGTATTATATAATGAGGTTGGACTTGCGTTACATCTACCGCACTCGCACTTCCTCACTTGGAACCGGTGTCAAGAAGACCGGAGGTGAGGCAGGCCGTGGGTAGATAGCGCGGCCGGACCCGCGACTAGGCGGGTCCATAACAAGCACCCGACCAGAATTTTCTACCGACAACAACAGCACTACAACTGATTAGAAAGACGACGAGGATGACTAGGCAATCATGAGCACGAACTGCGTAGCCGGCGGGAATGCAAGAGCATCTATCCGCAGGAACTGCGAGGCATATCAGATGCTTGCACTCCTCGAGGTCCATTCAGCTGGGATTACAAACACACAAACATGGCACTCACCCAAAAAAACTAACCCAGAACGACGTTTATCAGATTAGTTCTTAACATTACGTCCGTCTAAAGCGTACTAGTGCACTATCGCAAAGCATTATCTGTCGATGCGTGTTGAGTTTTTATCCACACAGCAGTTAAAAAGCAATTTTAATCGATTAGCGTAACTGAGTGTTTGTCAGAGTAGAATAAAATTAAAACGTTTTAAATTGGTCTTCACTTTGTAACTCAGGAGATGTCCTCAAGTCAAGTGTTATTCTCAAAAGACGCAAGGGGGGAGGAAACTGCATCCCGAGCTTTTTATTTTCCTTCGTCGCAGTTTTTTCAGTGAATACATCTGCGCATTTAAAAGCGCACAGGCCGAAACAATAGCAGGCTGAAATGCGCAATTCAATTTCTCGAGATAAAACCAACTTTGGCCTTTATTTTAGTTGGACACCCCATAAACAACCTAGTAATTCGCTGATAAGACATAGATGGGAAATGCAAGCATCTATTTTGCAGTGGAACCTGATCTGTTATTCGAAAGCGTGTACGTCTACGTGAGATCGAGCCCTTCCGAAGTGAGGGCCATTGGAATGCTTATTTCCGGTTTGTTAAACAGCATCAACCATTAATATCTTACCGCAAATTTTGGCCATCTAGGTTTTGAACTCGCCACGTTTTGCTTATTTGTTATAACGCTTTCCGTCGAGCTACGGTCGCACATTGACTATTGATTCCGAACCGGTATATAAATTATCGTATGAAGAGCATTTGCCGAGCACCAATGCTAAACTCGACGAGCGGATCAAGCAACCCATTCAGTTTGCACTTTTCCAATGATGAGCTATTGCCTATGACTTTAGTGCTCACACAGCCACCGATGGGACGCACATTGTAGTCTCGTTTAATTTGGGGTCAGTACTCTTTAATGTTTGGTACTTGGGTAAAATTAATTGCAAATTTGTTTACTGACTTACCGTGAGTGACCAATCCTATGAAATGTTGATACACATTTTGAAATGCGTTTCGGATTAGGGAAGGATTGCTTAAACGCGTTTCAAATATTCATTGTATTACGCCATAATCCTATAATATTTCGGACTTGGTAGGATGTTGGCTTTTGAATGCACTGTTTTTAAATCTCCTGTAAAAACCGTAATCGGTAAAAATGACCACTTATGTAGCATGCATTTTTCACACTGATTTTCGATGGTCTCGCAAATTTAAGTATACTTTACCGAAAGTACGAACAAAAAGATCCTTTCTTTCAGTCTTGTGATAGTGAATCACATAATCTTTATAATTTATACTCGAAGAAGGCGTATTACTAGGTTTTAAAACAGTTTTCTAATCCCTGGGAAATTTGAAACCTAATCAGCCTTTGCATTAGTGCCTACTGAATCCAGTCTACAAGGTGCACTCGTTCCGCGTTAAGAAAATCACACATTAATCTATGACTTCAAAAAAACACCATATAGAGTCCATAAAATTTTGCAATCGATGCCGCCCATTTTGTACATTTCACGAGAGGCACAATGCTGAATGAATGGACGCTGCACGGTCTTAAAATCTCATAATTAAAAACTTTTTTAAAAATCTAATTACACACTTTCTTCGAGTACAAAATATAAAGATAACACGATTCTCTATCAATCGGCTGCAAGAACGCATATTTCTGTTTGTGCTTTATATAAAATATATTTGGATTTGCGAGATCATAGAAAATCAATTTAAAAAATGCACACTACATACAGCGAATGACCTATCTAATGAAATGTTGGCTAGAATTCTGAAATGCGTTTTCAATTAGGAAGGATTACTTGGTCGCGGTTGTGATACTGATTAAAGGCATACTCTTATAACAATTTGGACTCGGCAGGATGTCGGCTTTAAAATGCACGTCTTTTCAATCTCCTGCAGAAAGCGTGCTCGGTAAAAATGACTACTTAATTAACATGCATTTTTCCCATTGATTTGCGATGGTCTTGGAAATTCAAATATATATTATAGAAACCACAAACAAAAATATGCTTTCTTTTAGTCAATCAATAGAGAATCACGTCTTCTTTATATTGTATAAGAAAGGATGATAATTAGGTTTTAAAACAGTTTCTAATTATGAGACTTTTTAAGACCGCAATATGTCCATTCGCATAGCATCGTACCTGGCCGTTTACCACTGCTCCTCATGAAATGTAAACATGGTCCGCATGCATTGCAAAATTTTATGGACCCTGCATAATATCTCTTTAATGACATTGAAAAATATGTGATTCTGTTTATGCGGAACGCATGCACCCTGTAGAGTGAAATCACTAAGCGCTAATGCTACGGATGATCAGGCTCCACATTTTTCGGCAATTAGAAAACTTTTTTAAAACCTAATTATACTCCTTTTTAAGTCTAAAATATAAAGAAGACGTAGTTCTCTATTGATTGACTAAAAGAAAGCACATTTTTGTTTGTGGTTTCTTTAAAATATATTTGAATTTCCGAGACCATGGAAAATCAATTGGAAAATTGTAGGCTACTTATGTAGTCATTTTTTACCAAGCACGCTTTCTACAGGAGATTGAAAAGAAGTGCATTTAAAAGCCGACATCCTGCTAAGTCCAAAATGTTATAAGAGAATGCCTTGAGATAATCAATATTACAACCGCGACCAAGTAATCCTTCCTAATCGAAAACGCATTTCAGAATTTCAGCCAACATTTCCTGAGATAGGTCACGCAGTGTAAGTAGCCATTTCTAACCGATTAAGGTTTTTACAGGAGATTGAAAAGCAGTGCATTCAAACCTATCATCGTACCAAGTCCGAAATAGTATGGGATTATGTCGTAAGATAATAATTATTACAACCGCGCTAAATGAATCCTTCCTAATCCAAAAAGCAGTTCAAAAGTTAGAGCAATGTTTCATGAGATCGGTCGCGCACTGTAATATTCTAGTCGTGGTCCAGACACCTTTTTTGCCGATCATATGAGGCTGCACGATGCAACTGCTAGAGATGGGCTGAAATTTTTCAACCTCAGCCAGCTAATCCAGTTGTACTTGCAATCTCCCAAGGGGAAGTCAGTAGTATATGAATGCCTTTTTCGCGATACAACTCATTTGTTTAAAAGTCAGTTACATGTGTTTCTTTATAAACATGGCATATAAAATATAATCATTCAGGACTTTTAGACTGGAAAGTAGCTTGAGATTTCTAGACGCCACGGGTTCGCGAGTGCTGCAGTAGGCGTAGGCCGCATGAATTCGCTTTTTAAATAGGAAATATCCATATTTGGCCTATAAGTCTTGGTAAAATGTTTTGGATTTTCTTTTGCAAATATAAGGCAATATAAGGCCACATTTTAGGTAGCAGCGGGCTGTGCAGAAATAAACGAGCAAGTGTATTTAATCACAAATGCTGACAATGATAGAGCCGAAAACAGTGGTTGGTGCCTGACCGTGATACACGTGAATGTACGCATATATATATGAATATGCGTATTTTCGATTCTGTTGCCCAATCACAGTAAAAATGCTAATATGATAGCTGTAAACTGGCGCGGACGCAATACATGTTGGCTATGCCATCCGGTTGTTCGAAGTCCGGCAGCTCAAAACCTTTCGAGATTTAGTAATGTTCCCCAAGAGGAAATCATCGCAGCCACATCCATTTTTGGCAGTCTTCTCAGCAACCGCTGATGACCTAAAGGGCGTCACAATATATACATTAAACGGGATCATTTATGAAAAAAACGATAATCTTGGTGGATCTAGACTATCTAACTGCATTCGCAAGGATAACGTATAACTAGAGTTTTCATCATTGTTCTACCTAGAATAATATGATTTGTTGCAGCAATAAGGCCAACCTACTTCGTCAGCGTACCGTAAAATTTGAAATTAACTGTTGTTGATACAGAGAAGCGACCGTCCGAATAACTGCCACATAAGCTTACTGACATACACTTAAAAATGAGCTGACTTCCGATAATTCCTATCTATGCTCGAATCACGCAGAAACCGCCATGTTTTTAATGTTGACTCTGAGTATATATTTAATTATTGCAGGCCACAAGTTTTTCATTATTGAAGCAGTACGATTTTTTAATTTCTACAAAAAGCAAATATTTAAAATGGATTTTTTCGTTTTTCCATCTAACAAAAAGGCCGGCTATAAATTTACACTGATTGCGGAAAGGAAAATGAACAACGCTCAAATCTGCCCAACCACTAGGCGATTGGCTGCAAAAATATTCAAACTTGCTTAGCGTGATCTCTTTACTCAGCTAGGGGCTTCCGAACTTTTATTTCTGCTTATGCATGCCAAATGTTCACACCGGAGGAATAAGAGTTTAGCACGCAGTCTGCTCTCGTGCCAATACGTTATCAAGCTGGATCTACGAGTAGAGTGTTTTCACAGGTTGAAAACGCATTTAGCCTATCAAAAAAGATAAGGTGATTCAAACGGCGATGACTTTCGACGCAAAAAATAATACGCATTATCATTGTGCAGATCCCTTGTAACCGAAAATGTAACGCGGTTTATGCACCTATTTACACGTTTGCGCGCATATAGGCATATAAGGAACTTTCCCGTCAACAAAGGACTTTGATGAGGTGATTTGCAGAATTTTTTTCAAAAACGTCAAATGTCATTTAAATTTCAATCCATCAAACGTTTCCTGCAATTAAGACTTCTGCATTTTGATGCAGGTCATACTTTTACTTTGAAATCACCTTGCGTTGAACCCCTGGCAATTTATGTGCAAAAAGTTAGAGGTCTTTTCTCGAACGGGGAGCAGGATAGAGTTTTATACTTTATTTGTATACAGATAGATCGCGGGATCTCATATGTACGTTTATTGAATGCAAGAGTTTTCTCAGTACTGCAGTCTCAACCAAGGATATTTATCATTCCACTGCGATCGTAGATTATAAATGACCGCAGAAACGAGTTTTTAATAGAAAAACCCATCGAACTCACCTGAATACCGTTTCAGACACGAGAGGATATTGATTTTTGAACGCACTTCTCTTCGTCAACCTGCAAAACCCGCACTCGCTAAAATGGCTGCTCATCTGGTATTTACAATGATTTCCGATGTCCTTAATTTGCAATACGCAATCAAAATATTATTGTACTTATTGAGTAAAATCTCACTTTCTGAAAGGGTTAATAAAGGTTTTTTATTATCCGATTCCTGTGGCCGAAAAATGTTATTTTAATGTCATTGCGCATGACGGTTCATTAATATTCTCTCTAGGTATACAAAGTAGTTCACATTTTTCGTCAATTCATATAAGCCCTCTAAAGTCTCCTCTAAAGGTCTATACTATGCATGATTCTTGAGCTAAAGATATACAGCTTGTGGTCTTTAAAGACATGTAAGGCTCACAGTTATTCGGGTAACGAAAAAATTTTTTTAAATCCCGAAGATTCTAATATCCGTGACAATTTTTGAATACGTGACTCCCTACTAATTGTGAAGAAGAAAGGATATACTGTGCATGTTTCGATAAGCGATTTCCTGGTTAACAAAAGTGGTGAAAACAGTAAACAATTTGGCACGATTTTAGTAACAATTATAGCGTGTGTTGATTATGCAGGCTTTGAAAAATATCCGCACTCGAAAACCCTCACCGCGGCAAGTCTGAAACATTTCAACACATTAGTCAATACTAGAATTTTTTCTTAGGTTATTCATCCTAAATGAAAGCGTATTCTGGAATTTCATGAAATCGGCCACTGAGTGCATATTTTTGCTCAACTTTTGTATGCGAAAAACATCCGGCAGACACAGATTCGTCTCTTGGTAAAGTCCAACCAATCTAAATGATCAACACAAGCCCATGCCTTTACTCATGTCCGTTAGCTCATTGGGTTGTGCTTTCTACTTTAATTCCAGACAGTTGGTGATTCACTTGCGATTGTTTTCGTCCACATCATTTGCCTTAATCCAAAAACACTCTGCCGGATGTTATTATGCAACATTTAATTACCTACTGTGTCCATGAGCTCTCTTTTCTTGCAAACATGCCTCAACACAAATGTTAAAATGGATGGCTATGGTTACTTTTAGAATACGCAAATATGCGGACACAAGTTGGAAAGAGCTTCAAAAGATCCAAATGTTCATTGTTTTTGCTAGGGCATAATATACAACTGACTAGGATGGGGCATAATTAATTGTTTTTCATGTCCGAAAGTCATTTCGCTGTGATGTTATTATAATAGTAAGTATTTGGTTTGTTATTTACATCCCCACAATGCGTCTGCCCAATAAAACCTATGGGGTACTGTTCTGTGTCCAGTTTTTCGTTTAAGTTTAGAAAATTCTAGGTGTGGCTCGAGGGAGCCTACTTTCTGGACGCTGTAAATTTTAGATGCGCGTTGGGTACCGGGCGGATAATTGTATAACGATAAGGTGCATTCAAAATGGGGATGGCTAAATATCAATTCCCGGTGGATTCACTACCAGTTTGTTGTTTTTTCTTCGTCCATACAAATTTACAGAGTTATTGAGATTCAATAGGACAATATGCAGGAGCGTTGTAGCGTTTTTTTGTAAATTGCGTATCTTTGGTGTATTTGTATTTCGGACGTTTTTACCATGGATTTTCAGAAAACGTGCTAGGAAGGTTCCCCGTTTGCTTCATTTTTAAAGTAGAAAATTTGAAATTTGACTACACCTCTATCTAAATAAACAACGGAACTTTGACTGTAAAGGATGGAAACATAAAACATATATCCGAACTACTATAAAGTTATCATTAATGTCTTTTGGCTTCGACCAGACCACACCATTTGTGCAGCCTAAACCATAAAAGCATATTTTAGCCCCTATACAGAAATCTGTAAGTTACTAGGTGTTGTAAGTAACTGTTACATGTTCTGTATAGCTCAGCAGCGCTTGTTTCACAGCAAATGTTTTCAAAATCTGGATGAAAAATAAGACGAGAAAATTCAGAAAGCAGATATCATTATGGTTTTTTTCTACAAACAACTCATCATGGTGGCGATCAAAATTTTGAACTGGGATTTTCAATAATACTCGTATCCTGACACTAATTCTGTTAACTGCTTCAAAAGAAACATTTCGAAACGATGTACGTTATGTAGTTTTTTCTATGGCAACGACTTATTTATTTAAACAATGGAACCGTGTTTACGCTGTTTGCTAGTAAAAGGAAGGCACAGATTGCCGCTTGTTTACTTACTTCTCTTTGATAAATATACATAATCTTAATTTGCTCACTTGTCACGGGTGCTTTGTCTAATCAGTAAAACGCTCTTAAAGAATGGTTGAGTCTGATCCAGGGAAAAAGCATATAAAAAACTTTAACAAGCCCGTACGAAACCTTTATGAAAGGAACATCTGTGCATGGTAAATTCAACCGAATTCATACGCAACAGTCGGCAAAATAAATAGCACCGTCTATGATCAGTTTCCCATATGCACTATAAGATTGACCTTTTCCGCCATAACATCCGTGTGTAAACTTTTATAAATTATTTAACAAATAAAACTGAGATTTGATTTGCGACGTCTGATAAAACAGGATTTATCATACTATGACATCTAATTCACATAGATTTTGAGGATTCCCTGGCGTCTAAACGAATATTTTATTTGCAGCTAAATTAACGAAAGCTTGCCAAACGGCTTAGTTTGCAAATACCAAACGACATTTTTATTTTCGTTTATCGTGCAGCATGCAGACCAGAAAAATAGAACGATTAATTTCCTTGCCATGTCTGTCTTTTTTCAATAACATATGCATTTTAAATCCTGTTTTGTCCTCTGCCAATGATGTAAAGGGTAGTTTGCAGGGTAAGTCGTATGAGTTAAAATAGCCAGCATGTCCAAATTGTTTCAACGACGTTTTCGATCAAGTTTCGTTTTCGTTGCGACAAGGTTTATGCATAAATTTGCGCACACTTAGTATCGAGCTAGTTCAATTTCTAAGACTTCGCCTAAATAAGCGCAGATTTAGGACGGTTTGCCTTAAAATTCAAACTTGTCGGTGGATGCCGAAATGATGCCGAATACGCTACTAAATAAAAACGATTTTTATCCCGAAATTTCGGCCTACGCCTGATCGTTTGACAGTGCTAGATCATTATCATGCCTCGCCATTTGCGCATTATGTCCGGATTAAAACCATCTGCAACATTTTGTTTGGAAGCAGATATTATTTTTCTTTTTGACATGGGGCTTGATGTCCTAGAGTTATGGCAAATTTTCAACCCCTAATTAAGTTAAATGAGCCAACCTTATATGCTCAAAATAGCGTTTTGTTTCCAAGTAGATTATGCGTAAACGTAACTGCCGCCAATAGCCAATGTCGTAATAATGTGTCAGATTTACAAAAAAAAAACGATATTCGCAATGGTCACGTAAATAGCACTAAATAAAATAATTAATTTAATGCACAAGAGTTTCATCTGGACCGATCGTTAATCAGCGACCGCCTTAAATAATGGAACCCATTAAACTTTTCAGTACGACATGTAGTTTTTTATCCTTTTGGTGCTTTTAGAAGATTATATAATTCATAAAGTTTAACTTATTTTAATAAACAGGACTGCACTGTCCCGGGAACAACGAGCACAGGCACATACAGTTGTCTCCTCGGGAAGTTTCAACTGCGGCGACAAATCGGCTCGTACCTGGTGGGCACTTATATCCCAGCCTTCCTGATCGTAATCGTTTCGTGGCTGACATTCTGGGTCAACACTGACGCCATACCTGCAAGAGTTACACTTGGCCTTCTAACGCTCATCTCCCTCCTCACAAAGGTTGGTCATTGTACAAACGTTGCATACATTTTCTCGAGCTTTCCGGCCTACGACAGGGGTCTGTCTAGTGCTGTTCTTTCCGTTTTTAAGATTTTTGGGGTAGATCATTTGTAGTAGTGTATAGAATACTGCCTCTATGTCATTACTACCCGGGTACGGGGCCCAAAACTCTGAACACAAATGAACTGGCCAGGTGCGTCCGTAGCGTGTAGTATTGCAAAAATTCGTTTTGATCAGCTGGCCTTCTCTTGTTTTTAAACCTAGGTGTTAGGCAAATACAAAGAAGCAACTGTCCATACTGTCTGAAACCCCAAAAAACCACGAACAATCTTTGCAGGTATTGCTTATCAAAACCCGATTTCTTCGGAAGGCCTCTTCAAGCTTATTTTGAAATGTCGCTGCATTATTGCTGCTACTATTTCTTAAATTTGCGGACCAGATGCTCCTAATCGCTACTAAAACCTAGTTTTAGGTATTTTGGAGCTTCTTATAAGTTAATAATCAGCTTAAAATATTGCTTTAAATGACGGACACTTGATTTTAAACTACTGCGTTAGTGTAGGTACTACGTCTTAATAAAAAGGCACAAACGGTCAAGGAAAAACTGTAGGTAGTTGCATGACCCGATTTCCCCGATGACCTTTTTGTGGATAGATTCAGGAAGCAGAGGAAATTTTTTCAACAAACTATTCTCTAGCAAGCGCCTTGCATCATTAAGATGACTGTGTCATAACGACCGAAATCGCTTTACGTGCGTTTAGAAAATGCTTATCAGCATGTTCAACAATTAAAATCGTCGTTTAATGGCGCGACCGTTCGCAGTTACTTACCTATGCCTATGTCTGGAGAACGTTTATTTTTCAAAATAGGCAATTATTCATCTTTGAAAAGAAACATTTTTTCCTATCTTTACGTTAAAGTGTTTTATAAGAAAACTACTGACTTTAAAATCAGAACTTCAGAGGAAGATGCATGTGTTTATACAGATTTCCATGGACTGGATTGTGTGTTTAGATCACGCATTTAATAGAATCTTCTTTAGATTTTTAAACGTTGTATGTAAGGCACGCACGGAGAGGGAGGCGCAATCTAAAAAGTTAAAGCAAACACATTGCTCAAGTATAAGGTAGCAGTAATTTCCGTGTATAATTGAACTTTTTCTCCCTATAAAGGACAGTTTATTCACAATACTATAAGATAACACAAAAGGGCAAAGCGTCCGAGGTGTTTTGAACTGGCCATCTGTATTTTGGTTATCAAGGGTCTAGAGTAACATCAACGTTTTCTTAAAAATGACTCAACTTATTATCCTCAGATTAGAAGAACTTGGCTTGGGTAATTTTGTAATAAATAACGTTCCTATGCAAGCCGCAACGGAAGCATACATTGGACTTTAGAAAACTCGGCACTAAAGTGTTTCTTAAGCGACAGGACCTAGTCTTACTCTTGGTAAGTGCAAACTCTCTTGCTCACAAATTTAACATCCAACCTTAAAATTACATGGTAGAAATCTGTAATTTGTCTGGCGATATAACGGTGGTGTCTGTACAAGCTTTTTTATTCTACAGTCTTTAACCACAGGTCTTACGTTTTTCGTAACACCTGCTAATGACATATTGCCGCACTTATTAAATGCCAGCTATACATTTGTTGTAGTAACATAAGGAAATAGTTCTTTTGCTCTTATATTTTGTTTTTTCCGGATGCTTTTACTGTTTAAATAAAGCCCCACGCGTTTTCAGCTCAGTACCTAGAAGCTCAGTGTAGATTTAACGCCCTGCCCAGTTGACGTGCTCTATCTGGTGTGGCAAGGTCATTTACTTCCATTTAGCATACGCCCAGTGACGTTGCTTCATGCGACAGCAACCGCGTGAATGATTTATTTTAATCAGAGAAGACATGCGCACTAAACTGATTTCCGGCCCTTACTCGTCAGGACGCTTGTAATGTTGAAACTGTGCGCTGATTTGTTAGCAGATGGCAAAGCGTTCGATGCAGCTGCGTTTAAACGAACGGATTTATGCACTACGGAGTCAGCATTCCTTACTGTGTACACACTTTGCAATATGCCGAAACACTTCATATTTTCAGCCGATTGTGACTGTTTTAGGCGACCCTATTTCGCACACGGAAATTCTATTTTATAATCGAACATCAGAGTGTGGTTTACACTCACAAAAAGGTAAACTGCAATTAACGCCGTCTCCTTATGCGAAATGCTGTTTTTATTTTTCAAAGACCATACTTTCCTACGAATTATTCATTAGTCAATACACTGAACTAGATGCCGCGAACATAAGTGTCAGAGAAAAATACAGGAGCGATGCCAAATGTTAACTCACAGACATATCCGATTGGCCGGCATGAAACTAAAATATCGATTTGTAGGCACGTTCGCATTTTTGGTTGTTATTTCCCATTTGATAAACGTCTGATGACGACTTGTGGAACCTGTGTCAAACATTTAGGGAATAAAGTTCGCCATATTTCCCTAAGGGACAGGGAAAATGTCCGGTTCTATTTCATATTCCTAGTGAAACCACAAACCCAGGTTGCATGATCGACATTCGACGCCAGGCCAGTTAATTATGCAGCAGCGCCGTAAAAACGAGAACAGTAGGTGGGCTAACTGATGAAATGTCAATCAAAAGTTCCGAAATGAGTTTTCATTCCTTAAGGACGAATTAAGTAGGGTTGTAAAACTAGTCAACCTGCAACAGAAATCTATAATATTTCGGTGATCTCAGGATGCCGGCTTTCGAACATCCTCTCTTCCGGCTGCACGCAAAAACAACACTTCGTAAAAAACGACTGCTTAAGTAGCACCAATTTCTCTCATTGAATTTCGATGCTCTTAAGAAATTTAATTGTAATTCATGGAAGAAATGCAAAAACGTATTTCTTCTTTAACTCATCTTGTAAAACGTTACGTCTTTTTCAATGTTATACTCGAAGGAAGGATATAAATCGATTCTAAAAAAGCTTCCAGTTCCCGACTTATTTTGAAATCGCTCTACAGTTACACATGGATTTAGGGTCTCTTCACCACAAGCCATATATTTTCAGCTTACGGAAAAGCACACTTTTCTCTACGGTAATAAAGGGGGACCATATAGGATTCATAAAATGTAGCAGTAAATTTGATCCATATTGTCTGCTTTACAAGCCACATTGGTAAATAATGTTTTATGAACGGCCATTTCACGGTATTTAAAGGCCCTCAATATGGAACTTTTTAAAACCTAAATGTGTCCCTTTTTCGAGTATAAAATTAGAAAAAGACGTAAGTTATTATCAAAGGGAGGAACAAAAAAACATGTTTATGCATGTTTTCCATGAAAGATGATTATCTTCCTTAAGGGCATCAAATAATCAACGAGAAAAATGCATGCTACATAAGTAGTCGTTTTTTTCAGTGTCGGTTTTGCATGCGGCCGGAACGAATTTCATTCACAAACCGAAATTCTGTGGTAACCGAGATATTATAGAATTATGTTGCAGGCTGACTAGTATTACATCCCTACTTAACTAATCTTTTCAAAACAAATACGCATTTTAGAATTACGGTTGACATTTTATGAGTAAGGCTATTTACTTTAGGCTTACATTACGCCGACCGACCTTAAAAGGACACTAAATAACAGCTAGCAGTTAATGCTTTAAAAGTGGTTTCCCGATATAGACAATAAACAGTTCTTTTCTACTTACTTTCAAGCACCTGACATTTTTAAGCCAACCTTACATCCGGTGCTCATGTTTGTGTTTATATAAACTGGCGTCCATTACTGTAAAGACGCTTAGCGTCGTCATTCTGGCAATCTCGGCCCGCAAGCAATTCCATTTTAAACTTTGGAAGAAAAATATCGATTTTTCTTGAAGCATAAGTTACGATTAATATAACTGTTAGGAAACGGATATGCAACGCATTGCTTTTTAATGCACGAGTATAAAGCATACTTGATGTTTATGAGTGCCTGATCCATACAAAAGATTCCGCTTACTTTTCCCCTATTCTAAACTGAGCTACAGTTGCTGCTGTATTCTGGGTGATTTTTTAACGTCCGTCCAACTTTTGACCATATTTCTACTTGTCACGTGAGGAAAGGGCGTGTAACTGTTACCTACGCATCTAACTGCTAAGACGAGAATTTTCTGGTCAGGCAAATATACTTCTTGTCCCAGTGATCGCATCTTCATTTTCTGGTTTATCGGTTTCGATAGGGTAGTACAATATTAGGAGCAAGTTTCAGAAGACGCGCCAGGAATCTCACTCGTCCCATTGTGCCTTAAGGGTTCTCTCTCCAGCCCAACCAGCAGCCGCACAGAGGAGAGTGATTTCCATAGCGCGATCGGTGAGGGCCATCCTACCATTCACCAAGTAGGCGGTCTTTGATCATTTTCACCTCGTTCGTATTCCTGGCAAAATGTCATCTGAAAGTCTGTTTGAAAAAAATCGAATATCGTATAAAACAGCTTGCAAGCAGCATTGCAAAACAGCAGAAGCAGTAGCGTAGGCGCTTTTGTCCGAGATTTCACGATAAGGAGTTCAAAGAGTACACTTTGACGAAGCGTGAGACGCTCGCCTGCAAATATTTATCGAAAGCTTCGGCGAATACCACCGATGATGTAGTACCAAGTAGGAACAACGTTCAGCGAATAGGCTTGGCAGCAGGCAACTTCATTAAAGCATGTAAATAACAAATGTCACATTTTTTATGACAGGAAATTTTCTTCGGATTGTTAAAAAATTTGTAACATGGTCCATGTAAAGATCCAAAAAATAAAGTTCAACTGACAACATGATTGCCTAAGCGACGTTTAATTAAGGCACAAAGTTCGAATTTATGGTTATGCAGGAAAGAATAATAACCAGAAGAGCATAATTCGGTTTTAAAAAGTTTATAATTGTGAGATTTTTATGATACCGTTAAATGGCCGTTCATAAAACGTCATGTATCTGCATTTACGAATGTGGCTTGTAAAGGTAACAATATTGCTCAAATCCACTGCTTAATTTTACGAACCTCATATGGTCTCCTCTTAACACCGTCGAGAAATGTATGGTTTTCCGTACACGGAAAATATACAGCTTGTAGTTTTAAGACTCTGAATGCAAGTGTAGCAGCAGGTCGGGTTCAAAATTATTCGGGAATTAAAAAGTTTTTTAAAACTGAATTATACTCTTCTTTTGAGTATGAAATTGAAAGAAGACGTGATTTTCTACCGAATAAGTAAAAGAATGAATATTTTTATGCATGTTTTCCATGAAATATAATTGCATTTTTAAGGACATTAAAAATCAATGAGAAAATTACATGCTACTTAAGTAGTCATTTTTTGCAGAGTATAGATCTTGCATGCAGCTGAAAACAAGTTCTTTCGAATGCCGACACCCTGAGGTAACTGAATCATTATAGACTTATGCTGCATTATGATTAGTTTTACAACACTACTTAATTTATCTTTTCGAAACGAGAACGCATTTCGAAATTTTGGTTAACATTTCATGAGTTCTCACATCTACTGTATGTCTTAATTTCGAATGCTGACTCCACAAGTAAGTGGCCTCGTCGGAGGACAGCCATTACCTGACTGTGCAGATGACTTGATATTATGTCGGACACTTTTCAAATTAACCGTTTTGTGCATTACAGTGTTCACTTCTTACCCTCTCTTGCAAAACCCAATCGATCTACGTAAAATTACCGAAGGTATCACCGAAAAAAGATATTCTTTCAGCTTTGGGACGCATGAATAGGTTTTTGTCCGCGCACGTTCAGCGAACCTGGGGTGATTATTGGCTGGCAAGTCAGAAGAATTGGGCCTACTAACTTCTGCTTCCATACTGGGCCTTCCCTGCTCAAAACTGTTTCCGGGAAAGACCTCGTCGTTATAGATCAGTGCCTCTTTTATGAGTATCTTATGACCTATATGCATGAAGCAAGGATAGCAGAGAAGAACAAATCACCTAGCACACCCTTTCTGGATCGAAATTTGAAGAGACACCCGTTTTGCTTGCTTCTCATCGCCCTCAACTCCTACCTGAGTAGACGAAATGGGCGGTGTTCTGTTGAATTAAATGTGAAACATAGCAAAGCATAATAAATACGCCTCGACCGGCAGACAGAAGAAAGTATCCGATGCGCTGAATACGCAGATCTTCGGTGCGCAAAATAAATTCCTTCAGGCAATGCAAATTTCATGGCTTAAGTCGACCGACGGAAACTCCGCGGGCAGACTAGATCACGTGAGTTGTCCTAGGACTTTCGCAATGTCACCCACCCCTCACTCCCCTTGTCTGGCCACAGTGGTGTTTCACCCTCACCTGGTCATAAAACCACAAGACACGTAGTCCACGCGACTTGAGAACCGACTCAGTTGTAAAGTCGGTTTATTATTTTGCTGAATTCTTGAGTGACCACATACTGCGTACACCAGACTATTGCGTGAGGCTGTCAGGGCGAAATATATTCTGAGTTTCTAATTCGATGTGGAGATATCAGTGGATGCGTTTAAGGTCCACCACTGTCCTTCCTACGACGTTGAGTTTAACGCTGCGGTTGCTTCTGAATTTCAAAGCCAGACATGAGCGACGATGTCCGTTTTTTAGTAAATTAATTTGATTGTAAAACTGAACATATATTTATTTCCTGAATAAAAGTGCACCAGTTTGTCATTAGGCCACACTAGAACATCTTTAGAAAACTGATCGCATCTTTTGATATTTATCCTAGGCGTCAAAAGCACAAAGTTGCATCAAATGCCAAACTTAAGATCATCATAGGGGACGCAAATATGCCTCCCTGTCCGGTCACTCGTTTACCAAGTGCACTTACAGTAGGTGAGCTAATTCATGAAATGTCAACTGAAATTGCGAAATGCGCTATCGTTTCGAAAAAATTAATCAAGTAGGGTTGTAAAACTAGTCAGCCTGTAACATAATTCTAGAGTAATTCAGTTACTTCAGTTTGCCAGCTTTCTCAAGAACCTCCTCTTGGCTGTATGGGCAAGCTACACTCTGTAAACAATGAATAGTTAAGTAGCATGCATTTTTCTCTTTGACTTTCGATGCCCATAAAAGTCCAATTTTATTTCAGGGACAAAATGCACAGAAATGTTCATCCTTTCGCTCCTTCGATAGAAAATCACGTTTTCTTTTTGTTTTATACTCGACAAAGGGACATAATTTGGTTTTAAAAAGTTTCAAATTGTGAGACATTTTAATACCGTAAAATGGCCGTTCATAAAACTCTATGACTTTGCATTTACCAATGTGGCTTGTAAAATTAACAATATGATTCAAATCCGCTGCTAAATTTTATGAACCCCATTTGGTCTCCTCGTAATACCGTGGAGAAGTGTGTGGTTTTCTGTACGCGGAAAATACATGGCTTGTAGTTTGAAAACCCTGAGGCCAAGCGTAACGGTCGAGCGGGTTCAAAATTATTCCGGAATAGGAAATATTTTTGAAAACCGAATTCTACACTTCAGTTGAGTATAAAATTGAAAGAAGGCGTAGGTTTCTACTGACTAAGTGGGGAATGATTATGTTTATGCATGTATTCCATGAAATATTTTTGGACTTTTATGGGCATCGAAAAGCAAAGAGAAAAATGCATGCTACTAAAGTGGTCATTTTAAAGGTTATAGTTTTCACATGTAACCGAAGGGAAGTTTTTTCGAAAGCCGGTATCCGGAGGTTACTGAATTATTACAGAATTATATTGCACGCTGATTAGTTTTACAACCGTATTTAATAAATCCTTTCGAAACAAAATCGCATTTCGGAATTTCAGTTGGCATTTCATGAGTTAGCTGACCTACTGTAATTTTAGCGCGCTGACTACACTCTTCGTCCATTCTTGTTAATTAAAACCTACGTTTGCCTTCTAATTCTGAAAAAAAATGCCCTGTGATGTTCAGAAACTTTTACCCGCGGGTGACGTTAGCCGAAATGCATTTCTTGTATGAGATTTTAGTCTTGGCTGAAACCAGATACTGCGTAATGCGCACAGCTTACTACAACCCTGAGGTATACTTTCTGTGAATTTTGTTTACAGGTTAACAACGGCGTAACCTGTGGTGTAGATGGTTTGACAAATTTGAACTATGGAGACGTATGCCGATTTGAGAAAGTGTTGGAAACAAAGCATACTTATGGAAAGCCGTACCAAAGACACACACGCTACGTGTGCTCACTTACTTATTCACCCTCTGCAAACAATCAAATCCAGAAGGTCGTAATTACTCTAGTATTTTTCCACCTCCTGAACTTTGAACATTCTCGGTTGCACATACAGGGAGGCGGCAGTTTAAAATCATTTACTTAAATAAGAAGCATATTTCTTTGCAGAAAGCGTCCGCATGAGTTCATTATTTGCGTCTGCTTGTTCTCCGAAAAAGACATGCTTTGGAGCCAGCAGTAGCTTCTAGGGCCATCGATGAATGGTAGTTGCATATATAAAAGCGTCACCCAAGTACCTAGGGGGGCTGGAACCGGTCGCAATCGCTCCTTCGACAAGTATATTGCCCTTTGAGGAGCATTTAATCCTAGGACTCAAAAAGCATCTACTGAAAATTGACCTTAACTAATCTCGGACCCGTTCACCTGCGGCCACCCAACTGACCTTAGGTCGGACACGCGTGCGCCGTCAGAGCCGCGGCCGACCATGAGCCACTCAAGTACGCCATCCCTCGGAGTATACAACACGGCAGCTCGACTGTCGATCAGACAATGCCCACCGTGCTCACCACAGCCGTGTTGGCGCAGGGAAGATGAATTTCGGGTGAATTAGTTCATGTTGATAGTTGACTAATGCTGCATCCAGGGCTTTTTTTGGTAACAACCGGGAGATGGCACCCAATAAAATCCGTTACCTAGAAATAATACTTTTAACAGTGGACTCAAACGCCTTCAGGCTATATTAGCGGTTGCAGGCCTACTTTTACGCACTACTTGGACGTTCCGCGACAGCCTAACATGAGCTGGCCGACCGAACATCGTAGGAGGTTACATGGATGATGATCGCTGTTACCCAACCTTCCCCATCTTTACACACGTACACCTGAATTTACGGCATACATTCACATTATGGCAGTTTATTGCAAAACAAAATCACTTTTAAATAGGACAAGTCTGCACAACATGGGACAGGAACAGTTCCCAGGCATCTGTCAAAGACATGGCATTGAAACGAAACCAAAGACGATACTGTACTTCGTCTATGTGAGCCCAAACAGCTCGACCACATACAGGGCCTCCTTCGTGGAGTTTCCTTTTCAGTCTACTCCAGTATGCCTCAATGTCATTGGTGTGCCGTCCGGTGGTAGGGTCCTTGAAGTTCTTTGTGTGGTTAACAGAGAAATGCAGATAACCTTCTGAGGGAAGACGATCATACGCCTTCCACTCGTCCGTTACCACTATACTGCCTTTGACGACCCATTTTGTAATGACGGAAAGGACAGCGGGCCAACTTCGATCAGTAACCCATTCAAATAAGCCTTTCGTTGGCCTGTCCCGTAAGACAGGCTGCTTTGGTTAGGCGAATTTTTTTGGGTGCCATCTCCCGATTGTAACCCTTTTTTCCCCTCTTACCATTCCGAGTTAGGACGACCGGAGGTGGAATCAGCCGCGGATGGCTAGCGCGTCACGTGCGTGCACCTTGGCGTGCCTGGATAGATTCGCATCCTTAATAACACCAGCCGGGCCCTGATCTGAATCACGTGGCGGCTCAGCGCATCCGCCGTGTGGCCCGTTTTAGGGCGCAAGGCGCACCAAGCAGAACAACATTTGGACAAATCTATAAGCTCAACGGCCGCCACTTTGCCAATAGAAGCGAAGAGACGAGTCCCAGGAAGTAGTCTTGAAGAAGGAGACACGATCGCCGGGACAAGAGCTTTATTAGCCTGACGTTTCGGATCCATCATCAGAGACAAAAAAGCAGAAACGGTTGGTTGTTGCACAAGGGGCTGCGGTATTTATAGGATACAGTAGCCATGCTACCGCCGACATTCGAGTCGATAATTGCTGCAATTTCATCACGTGCGTTGGATGCTGGTGTGATGATTGCTCGACCATCTGACGCATCGACCCCGGTGTTGGGAAAAGTGTTCACCTCTGCGAAGTTTCAGTACGGAGTATGGAATGGAAACATCCTTGCACTTGTTTATGGACTGGAGGCCAGTAAACCATGGAGGCAATAATCACACCAAGTGCGACAATCCCGGATGGAGGGGGGAGCCGTGAATGTTCATAGGTATGCGGTAGCATGGCTACTGCATCCTATAAATACCGCAGCCCCTTGTGCAACAACCACCCGTTTCTGCTTTTTTGTCTCTGATGATGGGTTCGAGTAGGAATCCGAAACGTCAGGCTAATAAAGCTCTTGTCCCGGCAATCGTGTTTCCTTCTTCAAGGCCGCCGCTTTCTTCCTCTAGGGCATGACTAAGCAATGTCATTATACGACTTGGTCCTGCTAGTACAGTGCGTGACCGATCTGGTGAAATTTCGGCCGAAATTCTGAACTTCCTTTTCGATTAGGAAGGATTACTTAGGTGGGATAATAATGTTGCTTATGAAACAACATAATCCCCTAATAATTCGGACTCGCTAGGATGTTGGCTTTTGAATGCACATCATTTCCACCTCCCGTAGAAGCTACATTTGGAAAAAATGACTACCTGTGTAGCATGTATCTTTTACATTGTTTTTCTACGGTCTTTTAAATTCAAATATATTTTATGAGTAATACGTAAAAATATGCTTTATTTTACTCGTTTCGTAGTAAATAGCATCGCCTTTACATTTTATGCCCAAAGAGAGCGTGTATTTAGGTTTTAAATAAGTATATAGTTATGAGGTTTTAAGATCGTGCGATGTCCATACATACAGCGTCGCACATCTCCGTTTACCAATGCTCCTCGTGAAATGTACAACTTAGTCCACATTCATTACAAAATTTGATGAGCTCAACACGGTATCTTCTCAAAGGCAAAGAGGAATATAAGATTTTTATTGTGTGGAAAGCATGCACCCTGCAGAATGGAATCGCTAAATGGTAATGCAGCCATTGATCTAACCCAAAATTATTGGGGAATGGGAAACATTTTCAGAGCCTAAATCCACTCTTTCTTCGGGTATAAAAACTTAAAAAGGTGTTATTTTCTATCAAACAAGTTAAAGGAAACATATTTTGTGCATTTCATCCATGACAAATATTTGAATATATAAGACCATCGAAAATCAATGCAAAAAATACATGCTACGCAGGTAGCCATTTTTTATCCAGTGTGTCTTTTATAAGTAATCGAAAGGAAGTGCATTCAAAAGCCAACGTCCTAGCGAGTGCGATACTATGGGAATATATGGCTTGATAAGCAACGTTACAACCCCACCTAAGTCACGTATCCTAATCAAAAACGCATTTCAGAATTTCGGCCAACATTTCATCAGATTGGACATACATTGTAACCACTAGCGCAAGAAGACTGAGTACAAATCACATCTGTCTCCGGTTTACTCAGTAGCATCTTTCATCTCGCGACTGTGAATCCCCAATCTCCATTATCTACAGTATACGCCGCATGAATACCTCTTCTGAGGGTTCGAACATTACCGTTAGGATGCAGACTTGAATATAGAATATATATATATAGAATAGCAGTACGAAATTTGTGAAAGGATGAAGAGGCTAGAACGTGATCAATGCTTCGGATCTTTAATTCATTGGTTAGGGAAATTTGCGAGTTCTGTGTTATCCGTCTGTTTGGGTTTTATGTGTCTCGGGACGGTAAGCATCAACGTCAACTATACCGGTAAACTGATCTATTTCGGGTACACCAAGCGGCGTGCGATTGAAAGTACAACGAACGGTTAAGAGCCTCCAATCTGCCCGATAGTTTTAGTGCAAGCAATAGGGCACTGTAACGTTAAGCATTTTGGCTAAAAGTTCTGTGACCTCCATCGGCAGCTTATGTTGTACTATATATGCATATATATGTGAGCAAGAGACGGTGTGTCTGTCGGCTACATGAATAATTCAATAGCGCCCTGTCCGAACCGCGATGAGAGCTTGCTTTTTGATCCGAACGACCTCTCCGCAAAGACTGCGATGCTAACTATTTTACGTGGAAGTACATGAGTTAATTGCATTGGTACAGTCAGCTGATTGCATAATAATTAGAAGGAAAGGTTTTGTAAACGAAACCACAGGAGCGAGAGTACATGCATGCAAAATTTAGAGGAAGCATTGCTAAACTACTTCTCAGGTTGTTTACAAAGGCTTGTGAAAATAAATGTTGACTGTTTTGGAGTCAGTAGAAATAGAGTATTTTCGGTCATTAATATTTGCACAAAAATATCTCATTAGTGTTGTGTCGATGATCGCAAAGGCCTTATTTTTAATGAAAAGTCATTAGAATAAACACCGGAGAAAGCGGATTTATGCAAGCAAAGTCAGCAAAATTATCGCTGACTTCGAAGACGTGCTATCAATCTTCGTACGCAACCACAGCACTCACATATTCAGTGCTTAGGCCGACCGTGTTAAGTATGACAAGGACCAGGAAATTTAAATAATTTCTTTGTTAGTTGTTTTTCATCGCATCAGCCAACTTTACCGTGTTAAGCTGAAATTGGTTGTCCGTCTGTCTTGGCTAAGATTTTCCCACAAATGTGATTTTTGTTCGTCATCGCGACTGCCGTTCATAATCTCCTATCTGTCCATTAAGGCGAGAGAGAGAGGGAGAGAAGAGTGTCATCGTTGGAGGGAGAATACTGTTTGTCTGCCAGTTCGGATTATCACACCAGTCCATCACTCAAGGCAGCTATAGATAAGGGTAATGGACACAGGAAGGACGCAGCATTTATAGGACACAGTTAGTATGCGACCCTTGTCACAAATAGCAACTTCCGGACTCATCGGCGATGGTCGCATTGTACGCAATGATTCCCTGTTCATCCATACGCAGGTTGCTTTATGTCACAATGTCATTAGCCTCGTAACTTACAGGCATGGCATTTACCTGACAACCTTAATTACCAGTACATTCCATGGCAGCAGTGTTCATTCGCGTCATCCCATGTGGGCAATGACAGAGGAGATGAGAGGAAGTTGGGTTTGTTAATAAACTCCAGACTGGTGTGATTTTCTGCAATGATGTATCAGGGCGGAATTACAAAATTCAGCCAAAAGACAGCAATAACCGTATCTCCTGGTTGTTAACTGCCTCTTGAAACTCGCTTTTTTGTTACTATCGGCAAACTGCCCATCGTTAAGTCTGCCACCCTTGGTCGTTGGACCGCAAAGACCGCGTGTACATACTCGCTAGCCGCCTCTTTCCCAAAACTCAATCAAACCCCTTCGTCCTGTCCATTCTAAAGGGCAGAATTTAAAGTCAGAGTCGAAGATATCTAGCTTCCTTCACACTGGTCATTTGCGAGGCAACTTATTCTCTATATTGGGAATTCTACTGGCCCCTTCATGGAAAAACAGTGCTCTGTCCTCCATTCTATGAATGCATTTTCATCTTCATAAGCAAACTCTAATGAACGCTTCCCTGACCGCTGGCACTCAGAAGCCTTCCTGTCTTTTTGACCCAGACCTTATTATTCCTTTTTTAAAAATAACAGGCAAGTGCTGTTTTAATCTGGTCTTACCTCAAACAAAAACACAATTTCCTCATGTTTGCTGAAAAACGTCTGCACTCTATTTGGAGGTTGAATGGTTGTCTCCCTCATTTCACATCTAGAAGTATGGGCGTGAGCTGTTGGACTGAACGACCTCACACCTAACATTGGGAGATGTCCACGACATTTGCGTCTAAATAACAGTGTGAGATCTTGAGGGAAAACTCTCCGAGTAGTAAACTTAACGATTTTATCCACAGCAAGACAAACACCTATATTTGGTCTGAGTCTCCGAAGCCAAGGTCGTCTGCTAATTATGCGAGGGCACTTTTAGATCCTTAAGTGGACATCTTTTGAAAATCCAGTCAAACTGTTACTAGCCTTTACATTTTACCACATATGTATATCGAACGTATTGTACCGTACTCTGACCAAGGTTCTAAATAAAAGCCCAGACAGGTGTTTCGCCGATATTCTGCCGCTGCGTGACACAGCTGCGAGGGGTTCGGCTCTTCAGTGGGACCCCCAGCCTTCTCTAGCGGTTTCTGCTATATGAACTCCAGAGAATAATCAGGTGAATAATTTCAGAAATTAATCAGTGCAGGACTTGGAGTTAAATCTCCGGGACATGACTTTTTAGGGTCAGAGCCGAAATTTCAAGGAACATTTGAGTCGAAGACAACTGACTACTGCGGAATAACCAAGTAATACCTACGTTATATTCAGACACATGTTTCGCCGTTATTCTGCCGCTGCGTGACACAGCCGCTTGAGGCTCGGCTCATCGCGTACCCATACTCGCGCATGCGTTTTGGGACCAAACGGTATGGGGCAGTTCTCCCATGTCAGTTGATATATGCTGATAAACCAGTCACCTGCATCAGTAAATGCTTGTAGTTTCCGAACTACTGCAAATATCCTACAGGACGTCGACCTGTTAATAGAAGAGTATCAGTTTCCGCTGCGGGAAACAAATCCCCCACATGTTAGTGGGCTTGCGGATGAGGCCGGGACACATTCGCGAGGATCGCAAGTCTTGCTGAATGCAAAAGCGCCTTTGATAAACGGTTAAGCTCGAATGAGCTTACGAGAACAATAAGCTATTATTACGCGACAAGAGATCGTGTGGCTGATATATTCGAGGTGAATTGTGTGCTTCAACCGCCAGCGGTAACCGGTAGGTAACGTCTTAGACAGTTAGAGCTTCAGGTCTAAAGGGTGTTACGTTGGGTTAAAAGCACCCCAGCAATAATGGGAATATTAATGTGAGATCTTGAATTAAATATCTCCAGGCAGAACGCCCAAGCATGTTTCCTGCGACAAGAAAAGATAACGTTCATATACTTGAATGCGCACAGACATTTGGGAGGAAGATAATATTCATTACAATGTACTTTTGATAGTTCTCGGGGCACGAACTGGCATTGTGCGTTTCACCCATGTCAATCGTTGAACTCTTTTGGAACAGTCGCCTACATCGGGACATGGTTTTAGTTTCGGATTTGCTGAATGTACTCAACAAGGCCTCGACCTGTTAACAGAAGGGTATAAATTTAAGTTTTGAGAATACAATAATTCCGAGAGCAAGCGTCGTAGATGACAATGGGTTTGCAGACGGCAGTGATAACCCACTGGTACAGATCAAAAGTCTCCCTTAATAAAATAGCCTCTTTGAAAGTGGTTAATTTTGAATGAGTTAACGTGAACAATAGGTTATTTATATACGGCAAGGGATTCCGTGTCAGCTGTATTTTAACCCTGCGGTCACGGTGACTTACAACTTTCACTCGGCAGCGATAACCGGTAGTTGCAGAACTTAAGGAACGAGTATAATTAGGTTTTAAAAAATTTTTCTAATTGCCGAAAAATTTTGAGCCTGACCATTCGTTGCATTAGCGCTAAGTGACTACACTCTACAAGGCGCATGCGTTCCGTGTAAAGAAAATCCCGTATTTTTATATGTCTTTAAAGAGATATCATACAGGGTCCATAAAATTTTAAAATGGATGCGGACCATCTTGTACATCTCATGAGGAGCAGTGGTAAACGGCCAGGTACGATGCTATGTGAATGGACATATCGCGGTCTTAAAAAGTCTCATAATAAGAAAAATTTTTTAAAACCTAATTATGCCCCTCCTTAAGTATAAAATATAAAGAAGACGTGATTCTCTATTGATTGACTAAAAGCAAGCATATTTTTTGTGGTTTCTATAAAATATATTTGAACTTGCAAGACCATCGAAAATCAATGGTAAAAATGCATGCTACTTCAGCGGTCACTTTTTACCGAGCACGCTTTCTACAGGAGACTGAAAAAAAGTGCATTTAAAGGCCGACATCCTGCCGAGTCCGAAATGTTATAACAGTATGCCTTAAGATAATCAGTATCACAACCGCTACCAAGTAATCCTCCCTAATCGAAAACGCATTTCAGAATTTCAGACAACATTTCATGAGATAGGTCACGCACTGTAACTGCGTACTTTAGGCCTCTGCCGATGCTAGGAGTATGGTGAGCAATTAAATATCAGTTAAATTTTTGTGCATTTCTAAATCAAAAAATAACATTCCTTAAAAGGAAAGGGACCCAGCATGCACGGCCTGTTATCTGTCGACATCAAATATTTAACATAAATATTTGATATGTTTTAGCCCACAAGTTATCAACAATCGACTACTACTCGTGTTTTACCGTGTCTGCGTGTGGGTCGAATGCAGCCGCTGTGATTAATTATGGAATTTTGTTTACCCTTCTAAGACTCGCGTGTTTCCGGGTCCATACATACCCATTCCTGTCATTATGCTTATGTCTATTCGGTATTTCACCTCGCCGTTTGCTTGTCAGAGTCGGTTTGTGCAAAAGTCCCCATTCCGCAACACAATTAGCCTGCGGTACGTGCGACATGAAAACTGACAAACGCTGATATATTTACCGGTCTGTTTTCAATTTCTCCTAGATTCACATGGCTCAAGTCCCTAGATTGGTCTACTGGTCGGTTAATTCTAGAGCAGAAAACGAAGATGCGATCACTGGATGAAGAGATTTAATGGCCTGACGTTTCAGATTCTCACTCGAATCCGTCATCAGAAACAATCGCAGACGGAGGTGACGGTGGCAAAAAGAGTGCCGTATTTATAGCACGTAGCTGCCGCGGGATCATATGCGCTCTGTAATTAGCAGCTCTCGCAATCACCGCTGGGATCGTAATTGATGCGGTGGTGACACTTCAGTTCGAGTTGTTAACTATCGTGATTTTGGAAAGCCGAAATCGACCATTAGGTGCCTAGCAATGAGGCCAGAAGACCCGTTTGGAGTCGTTTACCGGATCTAGTGCAGTTGAGGACAAAGCAACTACGTAGGAGAAACTGGAAGATTACTCCGTACGCGAATTGCCGAGTACGCAGAAGCAGTGAGGTGAGCAGACGCTAGCTCTCAGGTGGCGGCTCATTCGACGGTACCCGGCCATATTTTCAAATTTCAAGAGGCCGAGATCCTCGCAAGGTGTGATAATCGCGTGAGCCGCGAGCTGCTCGAGTCACGGTTCTCAGGCCAGCAATCCATCAACAAGTGCAATTACCTCCCGGAACCATATTTCGTGCTGAGATTTTCCCTGGACAGGGGAATCAGTCACGTGGAAAGGGCGCGGGCGTGCAATTATCACGGTGACAGTGAGCCAATTTGCTGAGCAATCGTCACACCAACATCCAGCACACATGACGAAATCACGATCATTAACGACTCGGACGCGGACTGACAAACCATCATCGCATCAATTACGACTCGAGCGGTGATTGCGAGAGCTGTTATTTACTTTGCGCGTATGGTCCCACGGCAGCCACGTGCTATAAATACTGTACTCCTTGTGCCACCACCTCTATCCGTGACTTCTCTGGTGATGGATTCCAGTGAGAAACTGAAACGTCAGGCCAATAAATTTCTTCCTCCAGTGATCGCATTTTCGTCTTCTGAACTGCTACCTGCAACTCACCTGTTCGCTTTTATCAGTAATTCCAGAGCTTAATTATTGTGCCGCATTACGTTTGTGGCGGCCTTAATGATGGATGTACCCGGCGCGCATCAGTTGGAGGGCCAAATAACGCTTAGCAGGACTCAGGTAGCAATAACCGCTGTCTGGAACCGCTGGCAACGAAGCTGGATAGCAGTGAGAAAATGAGACGGTGAGCAAGTACACCGAACATCGCATGGATGCCTATCAGACACAAACTGACAGTTTCATCTTCTTTGCCGTCCATTATCTGTTGTCGTGCGGTATGCGAATAGTCTTCATTTAGTCCTCGTTGTGTCCTAAAATTGCATGTTTGTTCGGCGAAGTTTGAGTTCCATCAACTGCTTCATGGTCGCACTGAATAGCGCGCGTACTCTTTTGAATCAATTCGTGAAACCTCACCTTTAGGTTAACATTACAGGAAGGATTGTTTTACACTCTTGCTAGGGAATAACATCCGCGGATGAGAGCTAATGTCTGATCTTAGTGCGTTCTCTCAAGGCGCTTTTGTTTATCGTGTTTTACAGCACCCCACACCTAAATATCTATGCGTGCATTTAACTCTGAAAGTAGGTTTCGGTGTGGATTTGAACGGTCAAAATAATGCGGCCCTTATTTCCGTGATAAATGGAGTTTTCTAAAATTGCCAGCCGAACGTCAAATATTCAGGCGTAAATTTCAGCAAAGTCACTTTTAAACCTTTTACTAATTACAACTTTGTGAGTCTGTGGCCGCTAACTGCTAAAGTCTGCGCGTTTTTAAGTATAGTTGTCTTACAGTTTGCTTCCTATGTCAGTGTTCAGGATTATGTCGTCGTGTCAACAGCTGACACACATTTTAATTCAAGAACCACGTCGTCTGCAGAACCGATTTTTCTAAAAGCATACTGATGCAAAGATCGGTATAAGTAAGCTGCTTGCCTTGCAGGAGCTATACCCAAATCTTTTAAATATGGTTCGGCGCATAAAATAAAGCAATCAAAATGCATGCGTAGGTTAGCGTTTTTGTACATACAAACGAGAGTCTAAAAGTAATATCTTATACAAAAAGCACTGCTGCTTATTTACTCAAGTTTATCACTAGTCCTAATTGACATATAATTGCGCGAACGCTGACTAAAATATTTTAATCACAGTACGTTACGGTTGTAAAATGAAGTTGCCTGAGAAGCTCAGTGATTGAACGGATTTCTGTAAACGCAGCACTAACTGATTCCATCAGAATACATGATCTGATGCTCGTTCTTTTATGGCGCCGTATGGAATGGCGGCCGCACATTTTTTCCATAAAAAGTTTACTATTAACAAAATTAATTATGTTCTGAAGTACTAAATGTTTTGACGATCTGTCACTATTTGATGCCATCTGTATTTTCTGTAAAATAGGGTGTGCTCATCAACAGTTTCCAGGGCTATTGAAACCCTAGCTAGAAAGGTACGATTTCGCGCTCTCTTCGAGCAGTCCTCTTGATTGATATTCTGTCCTCTAGAATTCAAACTATATGCCAAAGTCCTCCCAAAGCCTGAGCCTTATGACCTGGGCTTTTTCATACGAGTCATACAGAATTAAACTACTGTAAATCCCCGACTTAAGGGCATTGTGGACGGCTGTCTTTAATATATATATATATATATATATATATATAGTGGATTTTCAGATATATTTGGTAATATCCTTTGTTTTTTACACAGATAACTAGAGGCAGTGATTCCTCAATTTGTGCAGGGAAAATTGTTAGTTTTTGTAGTAGGTATTTGATACTCTGCTAAATCTGACCTTTCTCAAACAGAGCCTAAAGACAGCATATAATGGAACTTCGTCACTTGCGCTATCCGACTGGATTACTGCATTTAAATGTTCATTCCTGAATTGCAATGAGTGACCGATCTCAGGAAGTGTTGGCTGGAATTCTGAAATGCGTTTCCGATTAGGAAGGATTACATAGGTGCGGTTATAATCGTATAATATTTCAGACTTGACAGACGTAAGCTTATGAATGCACTGTTTTGCAATCTCCCGTAGAAACCGTACTCGATAAGAAATGACTATTTAAGTAGCATGTATTTTTCCCACTGATTTTTGGTAGTCTTGCAAATTTTAACATATTTTATAGAAACTACGTTTGATAGAGAATCATGTCATTTTTATTTTTGATACTCGAAGAAGGAGTATGTTTAGGTTTTAAAAATTTTCGTAATCCCCGAATAATTTAGATCCTGATCGGTCGTTGCATTTACGCTTCGTGATTTCATTTTGCAATGTGCATGCGTTCCGCGTAAATGAAATCGTATATTCTTCTAGGCCTTCAAAAAGATACTATATGTAGTCCGTAAAATTTCCCAATGGATGCCGATTATATTGTGGACTTCATGCAGAACAGTGGTAAAAGTACAAGTAGGATGCTGTATGAATGGACATTGCACGGTTTTAAAAAATCTCACAGTCGAAAACTTTTTAAAAACCTAAATATACTCTTTCTTCGAGAGTCAGATATAAATTTGGCATGATTCTCTATCAAACGACCGAAAGAAGGCATATTTTTTTCGTTTTTTCTATAAAATATGTTTAAATTTGCAAGACTACCGAAAATCAGTGGGAAAAAGGCGTGCTACATAAGTAATCATTTCTTGCCGAGTGCCGCTTCTACGGGAGATTGCAAAACAATGCATTAAAAAACAAACATCCTGCCAAATCGGAAGTATTATAGGATTATGCTGCCAGATAGTCATTATTATAACCGCACCTACTTAATCCATCCTAATCAGAGACGGGTTTTGAAATTTTAGCCAACACTTCATGAGATCGGTCACTCAATGTATGTGAAGATCTCTCGTCAATTAAGCGCAAGCCAGAATAAATTTCGGAGGACTTACCACAAGTAATTTGCCTGACCTGGCTGAGAAGGGCCTGGGAAGTTACAGCTTGACTTCAGGTAAAATTCTAAACGTCCGAGACTTGAGACCCCAGACGAGAGCCTTAGGCATAAATGTATTAATCTTGAGCTACCCGCCAAACCGCTACAGCATACTAAACCGACCATGTCTATTACATGAAGCTGCATATCCTCAGAGGATTTGCCAAACAATTAATCTAGGGTCCTATAGAGTCAGCAACTTTTTAACAACTGGGTCGGATTAATTATTTAACTGCGTTCATCACGCAAATAAGATCTACAGCGTGCAAACCACACAACTCCTAATAAATCACGCATCTTCAGGGTTTGTGTTTTATTTGCAAATTGGCAGAAACCGCCGCCCACCATCATGTTATTTTATTTCCCCTGGTTTTCAACCGTGTCGGACGACCCAGCGAATTATGTTAGATTTGCAAGGCACTAGCCCCAAATAATTTATCATGAACTCAGTCGGGCCGTAACTGGCCTCATCTGCTCTGCTGGTGCGATGGTAGCATACGCACGGCTGCCTCGTCGGTCGCCAAATCGGCCTAAAACCAAGTTAATGTAATTAACCGGAGGGAAGAGGATATTAACTAACCGGCACTGCACTCGGTGCGTCCGGAGAGAAAGTGGTGGAATCATATGGTATTTAATCGGGAGTACGACCCAACTGGAGTCGAACTATTCTGTCCACTATTCGGCGGTAGACCAACCGGCGCCTATTCAGGTAGCTGGACTATACAGCCTAATTTCCCCCTTCCGTCCAGGTTAAAAATCGCACTATAAAAAAAGCAGCCTTCCCCTAATTACAATTAAGTTACACTCTGTTTCTCCTTCTCCGACTCATGCCGCAAAAAAGGAAACTGCGAATGCTTTCCGCGATGTCCATCGGGCTCGCGGAAGTTACTTCAACTCGCTTTTCCGACTCCCAGGCGTCGGAAGAGCTCTGATGGACAGCAAAAACAAAATAGCACTTAAAAGGAGCGTTCGCTGAAGGACAAATTGCCTGACAGACAGTCAGATAGAAATGCTTAATCTTATTAGTTTAGAAAACGGTGGGTTTCTGACTGCCACACAAAAGCAACTGGTACTCTGATGTTTCCGCTTGACTGATTTTTAATAAGTGACAAGAGTCTAGAACAATATGCTCTCGAACACTGACTATAAATGACTGCATAATTCTTTACGTTACCGACAGCACGGGCAGTAGGTAACTAAACGCTCATAGCTAGTAACTGCGTTGTCAACATAGTATGTAATAACGCAGTTCTAGAGTACTGACTTCTTGTTCGCAGCTTGTGAATGATTGTGAGTTTAGATATTCATAAACACTATCGGATCGAGACTGAAAAGTTCTCTTCCAAAGGAATTACTCTACGTTCACGCATTACTTGACTCGTAAATTAAATGAGCACTACATATAAGTACACAAGGCTCGCTAACAATTTTGACAAGTTAACAGGTCATGCGTGCTATTTTGAATACAAAATTTATTCCCTAGGCAAGATAAATCGTTTCTGTTGTCAGATCCATACGGTCCTTTGCCTTTAATAAGCTATTACATTCATTTATTTATCAGTTGGAAAAGGTTTCGCCAGAGCCGCCTTGTTTCTTCGCTAATCAAAAACATAGTAACTTTTAGCCATATTTCGACGGTCCGCAAATCTAGAATTACCCCGGTTACACTGATCGAGACTTAAGTAGATGACTGTTTGCTGTAATACCGGCAGGTTTAATCAGTTTGCGTTTGGCGTACGTTAACGGCTCCAGGGTAAGATGTAACGGCACATGAAAGTTAACTGCGGAATGGGTGACAAATACTCCCGTTTAACTTATAACCGCTCAATGCCTAACTAGCAATCTTCGAAGTAAAGAAAACAGGGGGTCGAATACTGGAACACTTTGTTTACTGTTCTGAGCTTACAAATCCGTGCAGGAGTCCATTGTCAGAGATAGTAACAGAAACAGAACAACAGTTGGGCGAAATCATGGTCACCTTCGACGTGACGTCGTTCTTTTTATCTACAATGCATGACCGATCTCATGAAATGTTGACTAAAATTCTGAAATGCCTTTTCGATTAGGAAGGATTACTTAAGTGGGGTTGTTAGACAGATTATCATGCAGCATAACCCTATAACAATTCGCACTCGCCAGGATGTCGGCTTTTGAATGCACTTCTTTTGGACTCCCTGCAGAAACCACATTTGGCAAAAAAAGACTACTTATTTAGCATGCATTTTTCCTATTGATTTTCTGCTATCTTATAAATTCGAATATATTTTACAGAAAACACGCACAAAATATGCCTTCTTTTGCTCATTTGGTAGCAAATCACATTGTCTTTATATTTTTTGTTTGAATAAAGTGTATATTTAGGTTTTAAAAAGTTTTTAATAATGATATTTTTATGACCGTGCGATGTTTATGCATGCAAGACGGCACATGTCGGTTTACTAATGTTTCTCATGAAATGTACAAAACAGTCCGGATTCATTGCAAAATTTTATGAACTCTACGTGGTATTGTCTTAAAGGAATAGAGGAATATATGATTTTCCTTACGCGGAATGCATGCATCCTGTAGACTGACAGTGCCTATCGCTGATGTAATGGCAGATCAGGTTGAAAATTATTCGGGAATCGGGAAACTTTTTTAAAATCCTCCTAATCGAAAAGGCATTTCAGCATTTTGGTCAACATTTCATGAGATCGGTCACGCACTGTGTCTCACCGGAATAGGCCCGCAAAGTCCTGCGCAAAAGATTTGAAGAGGATTACGATGAGACTCAAAATGCACTGAAAACTGAACACCTTATCAGACTGTTTGAATTCTGCAAATAAACTTTTGTTGGATGACATATGAACAAACCCAGGGAGCTCCAATGGGCTCACCTGTCTCCGCTTTTGTGACAGGACTGGTCATGCAGGCGTTTAAAAAGGCCGCATTCATCCAACGTGAGCCAGCATTTTGACGATGTTGCATGGCAACACGTTTGTTATCGAGCTACAACATTTCCACAACATGCCCAACGCAGTCTTTCCTGATAAAAAAATTCACCAGGAAGAAGAACAGTTTCAACAGTTGCCTTTCCTGGATGTGCTCTTCAGAGGGAACTTTAACTGTGAACTTGAAATGACGGTTTATTGGAAGGCAGTGAACACCACATAGCTTCTCAGTTTTCACAGCCACCGTTCGGTGGCTCACGAATGAAGCTGTGTGAAGGCGCTCTTCAAACGGATCCAAACTCATTGCAGCAAACCGGAGGACAGAGCACGTGAGGCCCGTTATCTGCGCGACCCGTTTGTGCAAAATGGTTATTCGAAAGCATTCATAAGTCGCTGCCTACGCGGTCACACCTAGAGGACTTGAACACCACCACGGATGATATGGCATTCCCTGATATAGAGTAGATGTGCTAACTCATGAAATGTCAACCAAAATTTCGAAATGCGTTCTCGTTTCGAAAAGATACATTAGGTAGTGTTGTAAAACTAATCATGATGCAGCATGAATCTATAATGATCCATGATCAAGGACGTTTCAGAAGCAACCGGGCGCAGTACTGCAGAGCTAGGTGTTGGAATTGCACACCACCCCAAATCCGCCAAGCGCAGTGGGGTAATGAAAATTAAATACCGGTTAAAGTCTGAGGAGCAATCTGGAGTAGTGCATCTCATCCCGTGCCAAAACTACGCAGACCAGACTGGACGCAAGCTCGGATCGCGCATACAAGATAACAAACTGGTTTTGCGACGAGGCGACACCCTATCACAAGTGGCCGCCCATACATGCGAAACGGGTCGTGAGTTTAATTTTGCAGCCACCAAAATAGTCGCCCACGCCGGAAACAAAACAGGCGGAGAATTAATTGCAACCTGGGCTTAGGATGAACACTCAGTCAATCGACTTGTCGATCTGGCGCCTTCAGTTGACGATAGCTTAACACGCCCCATAACCGTCGCTTGTTTTGTTGCTGCTCCCATCTCTGACGATGGACTCATGCACGAATTCGGAAGCTCAGAAGAGTAAAAAATGTTTCAGCGCTCAATCTTTTTCTTCTTCTTCTTCTTCTTCACATGTGTTTTCATCTGGAACTCGAACTATGGCCTTCAATCGTGGGGTTTCGATGTCTAGGGATTTTTTAGACTGGGATCCAGGTAAAACAAGTCAACACTCTTAAATGCATTGCTGTCCGGATCAGAGAAGCGGTTTAAAATAGCCGCTAAGTACTTCAGAATAAATCGAATACTTTGCAAGGAAAACATCTACGTAGACATCAATACCATATTCGTTCTATTAACCCGATGCAGAAGAAATTCTAGACGAAAGGCAGTTAAATGACAGATGCATAGACCGATGCCTAATGGTTGCGGGTTAATACGGTCTTTACTTAGTCGAAGATAATCATGACCACCATCGACATTTCGCCCGTCGTTGCCGAAGATGTTCACTGTGTGCCCCAGAGCAAGGTGGAGCAGGGATGGTGACTTGCGCGTGAATTTAGTTTAGAAGGCTTGGGCAGCGTCTACCGCCCTCTCTCCTTCTCCACCTGGACCCGGTGCCAAGACAGAGTCAGGGAGACTAGAGGCGGGGAAGGCGCAACTAGATGGCACGGCCGAACTCGCACCTCAGCGCTCAACTCCACACCCCTGGTCCCCACAACAAATGACCGAATTTTCGACCAACAGCAAAATGGTGGCTGACACGACCGAAACCGCACCTAGCCATTCGTCACACCCGGCTCGTATCCCACACAGCGGGAGTGCCATAAAGGCCACATTACAAAGGAGCCATCGCTGCCTGACTCTGCAACCACCAGTCAGCCGCTCCAAACAAACCCACAACACTAGACCCACTCCAGGGTTCAAGTTATCCCGTCAATTGACGACCTTCCAAGCCGCAGTCGTTAGCGCAGCATGAGAGCTTAAAACGTGTCAAGAAAATGCGCTGAATCGACGAGCTCACTCTCCTCTCCCATTCCTAGGCCCCAGCCACTGTCCGATCCGGTCAGCTGATAGGGTGCCCGGAATGGGCACAATGGCTGACAAAGTCTAGCAATCTTGTCTGCGCGCGCTACACGCACGACATGGCCTCCCAAACGGCAGCACCAGTATTTCACACAAAGGGGTTGACCGGCGTACATCACACAAGCGTGAGGATGCATGGACCACAAACTGGAGCATGCACAACCGGTGTCTACCACCGGACCGAAGTTTACCAGCATCTTTTCTGTCTTTTCAAATCGAAAACAAATTACAGAAGTGTGTTTTACGGTCAATGGGATCCAAACTTGACGACATATGTGTCTGCTTGCGCCAGATCCTATTGCTAATCTTCTTGAAATTCATTTGACGCTGGGTCGAAGAGACTGGGGAAAACGACAATATGGTAGCCCACTAATTCGCGATCCCTGCACCCTCCGCAGAGTGGAACTCATAGGTAACAACGACTGATTTGTCGTCTCTGTGTGTTTAGATTTTATTCCATTTAGTTTGGAAGCAATCGGCTACTGAAATCTCTCAATACTTATAAGGGAGATTTAATTTACAGTAGACCACAAAGCATATAAATATTGGTTGGAGTATAACATACGATTTCAAATAAGCCGGCGGCTTCAAAAGAATCTGGCACACAACCCCGAATAAATTCAAACCGCTTTGTATTTTAACTGTTTTATATCTCAGTACATTGACTAAATATCAATTGCAAAAAAATAACCTTTTTGAAACGCACTTCCCTAATGATTCTCTGGACAAATTCGAATTCGTAATTTTTTTCCAAAAAAGGAAATTCTGTGTCATTCACTACCGGTCGCTTCCGTAACATGCGCAAGCTAAAGGCCTATAGACACCTGCGTTCTTATGTCATTTTTTGCATTAAATTTGTCAAAAGTATATACCACGCGCATGTTACAAATTAACATATCTTATGTGTCCAGCAACTCGACCAAAAATCCCATAAATATAGCTATTTAATTAAACATCCTGGTTTCTGCAATCTACGCAAGAAAAATGATTAATTTGCGCACTTCTAAATGATATGTAATAAATGCGCAGTTTTCAGTCTGTGCGAATATGCGTGGCAGTCTGCGGCAATTTCACATAAAATTTAGGTTTGCACGCCGAAACACACCCCCCCCTCTTCCATAACCAAAAATTCGCACATACAGTGCGTATTACGTGAAGTCATTTTGTTTACCATGGTTCACATTATGCAAGTCTTCCTCGTGGTAAGAATTAATCCACGAAAAAAAACCAGCTATTTTTTCTGGAAATTGGATTTCCTCGTAAACAAGAAGATGCAGAACCATATTTTATTTCGCATTTGTCGATGGTGTGATGCGTTTTTCAAAATCAACTCATCTAACGAATATAACATGTAATTTTTTAAGATTATTTAAGACGGATACCATGTCCCACAAAATTCTGCCGTTTAATCCAGTTTTGTAGGTGTTTTGATTATGGTTGTTGGTGTTGATGCATTTCTTGCCAGATATATGCCTTTTTAAATGGAAGAATACCGCACTTGATTTCCCTGTAAGTAGGCAGCCTATCGTTGAACGTCAGGAGAAAATAATATCAGATAAAGCATGAAGGGGACCTTTGGGCGATTTGTTCCGACTTCTCCATTCGCAATCACATTCTCTGCTCATGCATATCACGACGCAGTGTCCTCAAAGTCCTTCATCTGCATGTCAGAAACATAAGTGATATGGAAGACAGAAAGAGGGTGATTAGGGAGTAGAGAGGCAGGTCTTTTGCGGCGAATCTTTCATTTACCGAAAAAAGCACTTTGGCATCATGAACGTCAATTGTGTTACACTACGCGCACTACGCAACACTCGAATTCTCTTCTACAGTGGGCTTATTCGGTCGGGCCCATAACCTTATAACTAAAAGTAAGTTCGTACATTATCATATGCTTGGCTGTCCATCTCTGAACTCGTGAAATCTCTGGATGATTGACCAAATGAGCGAAATGCTTGTTTATGTCTGCCAGATCGATGACGGAAAGCAAACTAGAAGTCTTGAAGAAGGAGACATGATCGCTGAGACAATAGCTTTAATAGCCTGGCGTTTCGGCTTCCTTCTCGAACCTATCAGCAGAGACGAAAGTAGATAGGGGTGGTTTATGCACAAGGGGCTGCAGTATGTATAGGATGCAGTCGCCATGTTCCCGCATACATATGAACATTCCCCGCCCCCCACCCCCTCATCAAGGATCGCTGAGCTTGTTATGCTGACAAATTGATAGCCGATATTCACTTCGTTAATTGCTGAAATTTTATCACGTACGTCGGATGTTGGTGTGATGATTGCTCGATTATCTGACCCACCGACCCTGGCGTTAGGATGAGTGTTCACATGTGCCGTCTACTCGTGGCTAATTACTCTACCTGGGCAAAGTCTTAGCACCGAGTATGGAAGGGGAAGGTCATTGCACTTGCTAATGGACAGAGGAGCAGTAAACTATGATTCAACCAGCTCACGCGGTTGTCCGCTCTATTGAGAACGTCGGCCGTAACTTGAGAGCTGGAGTCATTTCTCTTCACCGCTGCAGCGTGTTCGTCCATTCGCGTTCGGAGCTGTCTCCCGGTTTCTTCGGCGTAATTGTATTGCCCGCATCTGCACCAGATCCAATAACCGACTCCAGACGTTTTTTGCTGTGGCAGCGGGTTCTTCGGTTTCATTACCGGGCGCCTGATGGTTGTCTTTGGCCTGTGTGCAACTCCAATCCCAACTGGTGCGAGAAGGCGGTCGACAGCTTCCGAAATGTTCTCGACATACTGACGCGCTTGCCAAAATTTGGGGTCCGTGAGGTTTGGCCTATTCAGCAGTTTTTTCAGTGGACCGTTATTTGATTACAAGACGCACAGTTTTTCTCGATATACGCCCCGGAGTGCGGTCACGCCGGCAATATATTAAGATACTGAAGGAGGAAGCATACCGAAAACTCTGGTCGTGCTTTTTCGTTTGGTGAAACTGAAGCGGCTAATCATTCTAAGAGGAAGTCCTGCAGTTTACATGTTCCACTTCATCTGGCTGCCCTCATCTTTAAGTTGACAATACATTATACGAGAATATTAACCAGTCATTGCGCGGTTGTTTGAGAAGGATTCAGATGTTTCTCCTCCGCTGTTTGACATCTATCATGATTTTACAAGGATAGCGTTCCGTCATGCCTTATTGAAAGTTACCTGGTAGATAACTGTGGAGTCATGAATGATAAATTCTCGGAAGCCTGATAATTCCTGTTCGCAGTTAACTTAAAACTGTGAATTTTGTTGGTTGGTTACTTCACCGCGCAAAACATACGTAAGCCCGGTTTCTGTCGCCGCATTGACTGACATTCATGCGATGCAATTCACGCTGTGTTTGAGAGATGCTATCACTGCCTCAGCATGCCTCTTTGGTAACTCCATGTTTTTGCTTCTTATCTGGACAAAGCCAAGAAAGGCGTAATGTTGCCAGCATTTTATCCGTTTTTGTGAGCAGTAAAGAAAGATGGAAGCATGCGGACATTGGCAATTTCTGCATGCCACTCACTTCCTCTCATGTTGTTTCCTGAAACATCCTCTGAAGCAGTTCGCTTCATTGAGTAACCATCGACGCGTTATCGCATAGATGGCGATGGACGAGAAAACAGTCGTGGGTTATGCTCTTTAGAACTTAAGCCGGCACTTATAATTCAGAGCAATCTAATAACCGCACAGTAGCGCAGCAAGTCAAGCGTCCAACGCTTCCCTAAGTGAAAGGCCCCTTTCAGTTTTCGGGGTCGGAAACGGAGATCAAATAAGCTCTCACCACACCGGTGGCCAGACATTTAGAGTGGTGGTAGCGCACATTGCCCCGTTAAGTCAAAATTCTAGTAGAACCCCAAAGCATTTGCAGATTTCAATGCAAGCAAATGGGTACTCAGTCCAACAGTTGGAAGCGTCTGACGGTTGCGTGTTACTTCACTTTTTTCTCGAGATACTTCCGTCCCAATGAGATGCGCCTCAAACGCGGATATATATATATATACGATCCATCCCAGTGTACAACGCGTGGATTCGCGTTAAATACCAGGGGTCACTCGTCATTTCTCCTACCCCCAACTCTCAAGCAAACCCAAACTTTAAGTATACCCCTAATCCCAAACTTAAATTTAACCTCAACTATAACCTTAACTTAAGGCCCAACAACGACCTTGACCCTGACCCTAACGCAAACTAACCTATCCCCCTCCCAGAGCACCAAACCTAACCGTCTAAACACGAACCTCCCCTGAAGTTAACGCAAGGTAATTTTTATGGCGGTCCTCAGAAACGTGCTTCTGACATGAACGGTGATTATTACTGTATAAAGGCTTTAGAAGAATGCCTGTTCATCATATTGCACTAGGTCATATGATCTTGTCGTTTCACATAGCTGACTGGAGAAAGGTGAATGGCAGTAGTTCTTCCATTTAAGTACTCTAATGATACGGATTTGCAGCTCAAGGGAACAAAAGTATTGCCTGCTTTAATCAGACGCTCAAAGTGTTCCATTTAAGTTATGATATTTTTTTCACTTCAGCGCGACAGATCAGGTGAGAGATTGTTGGGCTTAAAATATTCTCGTTTTCCTAATAGATTTCGATCAACATTCATGATCGCCAATTTTCGGTACTATTTCATTTAATACAAGTTGGAAACAAGGCCGGCGTCAGTTACAATTAATACCCTCCCAGTCTCGTGAGACATTATAACGTGAACTAAATGACTAAAGTAGTCGTCGGCACATCTGAAGTCATCGCCTCGTGCTGAATATTGAAAAAACTGACCTTCAAGTTAAATTGATCAATTCCAATAATGTCAGCAGTGTTCGTGCGCCCACAAAACAAAGACACCAATTAAACGCGTTTATGTTCGGCCGCAAATGCGAAAATCATGAAGCGGACATCTGACCCCCAGTAGATGTCCTATTTCATGAAATGTTGATCCACATACTGAAATGCGGTTTTGACTCTAAAAGGTTGTAATAATAATTGTCATTAAGCATAATCTGAAAGCAATGAAGTCACAGCAGGATGTCAGCCGTCAAGCGAGCTTCTTTCGGGCAACCTGCAAGTACTGCATTACATAAAAATGGATACTTAAATAGTATGATTTTTTTATTGGTTTTCGAGACCCTCGTTAATATGAATAAAATTCACAGAAAGCATATACAAATTATTCGTTCATTTTTCATTTGTCAAGGAAGTACTCCTTTTTCAAATTATTAACATAAGAAGGTTTACGATGATGAAATCTTTTAAGTTGGGGAAACGCCAATTTATATAATATCGTGTCGCTACATTTACCAGTGCTGCTTGAAAAATATGCAATACGGAACAAAAAAACCGACCAACGCTACCTGATGCGTTAACTGTGACGTAGAAACCGCATGAAAGAAACACCGTTTTGCGTTCAGCCTAAAATGCTTTACTGATCAAGGTATTGCAGCCCATTCATATTATTGCGTTTTCCATTTTCAGTGTGTTCTTACGCTTCGAAAGCTTACGGCTTTCCTTTCCTGAGCCACTAACAAATTAACGAATACTACCCGAGGTACCAGAGACTTCGGTTTAAAGCAAGAATGCACTAGGTCATATGATATTGTTGTTTCACACAACTGAATGAAGAAAGATGAATGGCAGTAGTTCTTCCATCTAAGTACTCTATTGATACTGAGCTGCAACTCAAGGTTCAAGGGAACAGAAGTCTTGCCTGCTTCAATCAGACGCGCAAAGTGTTCCATCTAAATAATGATATTTGTTCTCACTTCCGCCCGACAGATCAGGTGAGTGATGTTAGGCTTAAAAGATTCTTATTGTGCAAATAAATTTCTATCTACATTTATGATCACCAGTCTTCGGTACTGTTTCGTTTAACATAAGTTGGGAACAAGGTTGAAATCAGTTACAATTAGTAGCCTCCCAGATTAGAGAAGGGTATGCCTCGAGTCTCCCGAGACATTTAAAAACTAAAGTTAAAGTGATAAATTCCGAGAATGGCAGCAGGATTCGTGCGCCCATCAAATATAAACATCTATTAAAAGTGTTAAATCTCGGCCGTCAGTAGATGCGCTATTTCGTGAAGTGTCGACACAAATTCTGACATGCAGTTTTGACTCTCAAAGATTACTTAATAAGGGTTGTAAAAATAGTTGCCATGCAATACAGTCTAAAAACACTTAAGGCACAGCAGGATGTCAGCCGTCAAACGAGATTCTTTGCGGTCGCCAGCAAGGATTATACTCTGTAAAAATGGGTACTTAAGAATAACCATTTTTCATTGATTTTCAATCTCCACGTAAGTTCAGATAAAATTCACAGAAAACAACTACAAATTATTCGTTCTTTTTTCATTTGTCAAGGAAGTACCTCTTTTTAAAATTATAAACATAGAAGGTTTCCGATGATGAAATTTTTTCAAGTCCGGGGAATGCCCGTTCGTAAAACATCGTGTCTTTACATTCACCAGTGCTGCCTAAAAAGTATACAATACGGATAAAAAATACCGACCCTTTCGTGATGAATGCGTGTACTGTATCGTAGAAACCGACTGAAAGTAACAACTTTTGCGTTCAGCCCAAAATGCCCTAGTGACCCAGGTATTGCAGCCCGTTCAGTCTAATTACGTTCTTCATTAACAATGTGTTTTAAAGCAACGAAATCTTACGGCTTTCTTTTCCTGAACCATTACACATTAACGAATAATGCCCGAGATACCAGAGACTTCGGTCCAAATCAACTTGTCCATATGATGTAAGACGTCATTTTTTTTCAAAATTGAAACTTCACTTTGCCTGTGTCGAGGAGCTAGGAGAAACATTCGTGCGCATTTTCGGTTGAATCGCCCCGTGAATTGAGGTGGACATTTTGCATCTCATTCGCCAACCGGGTCCTTCGTTTAATTTTAGCCGGCTTCGAAATTAAGACATAGCAGCACAATCCTGTAACGCTGGCTTCTCAGGCAATGCGGAAATTTGGCTGCTGTTACCGTGTTTTTCATTGCCCCTGTGCAGGATGAAATTCAATTAAAAATTCCCTTTCACCTGCAGACTCAATGTTGTCTCTTCTCTTCGCTGTGATCTCAACCTTGCAGCTTTTACGTCGGAAATGGCGTGATGAGATCCGACTTTTCTGACGAGCAACGGAGGAAGAGGATGCTTTTTAGACAACGTGCAGCGAGTTCACATTTTCCCGAGAGGGAACTGACTCGGAATGATTTCGATTTTACGCTGTGTAAACGTGAACATAAATGTAGATCAAGCTAGCAAATCTTAACAACTCAAGTGCAATGTAATCTGCGAGAACATTTTGATATGATTATAAATCTCTCCCGAAAGTACTCTAGTAAACGCAAACCTGGAGAATGTCCCCTCTTTGGATTTACACTGAAAGTTATTTAGTGCATACAGTGTGAAACATCTTTCACGCGCGCCTGAACATAATCTCAACGTCGGTAGTTCTTTGAGGACGATATCCGCCGTGGGGTAGACCATGCAGCAGAATGAGGTCAGAGGTGGTGAGTTAGTATAAAGAGATAGTAGACTTGCGCTGCATCTACCGCACTCTCTCCCCCACATCTAACAAAACACGGTGTCACCACAAAGTCAATAAGACTGAAAGGCGTAGGTGACTGGCATGCAGGTACACCCCTTGCCCACAAAGAACACTGTCCAGGGCGCATCGCACCCAAATACATTGCCAATAGAAGTAACGAGACGAGTCCCAGGAAGTAGTCTTGCAGAAGGAGACACGATCGCTGGGACAAGAGCTTTATTAGCCTGAAGTTTCGGATTCCTGCTCGAACCTATCATCAGAGACGAAAGCAGATAGGGGTGGTTCATGCACAAGGGGGTGCAGTATTCATAGGATTCGGTCGCCATGCCGCCGCATACCTATGAACATTCATGGCTTCCCCCTTCATCCCGGATCGTCACACTTGTTGTGTTAAGTGTTTGATGGCAGACATTCGCGTTACTGATTGCTGCAATTTCATCAAGTGCTTTGGATGTTGATGTGATGATTGCTCGACCGTCTGACCACCCGATCCTGGAGTTGGGAAAAGTGTTCACCTGTGCGCATTCAGCGTGCCTAATTACGTCGCCTGGACGAAATCATGCGTCAGGTAATGAAATCGAATGACCCGCTGCCACGGCATACAAAGGTCTAGGGTCGATTATCGGATCTGGTGCAGTTGCTGCCAAAGCAACTACGTAGGGAAACCGTAAGACAGCTCCGAACGAGAATGACCGAACACGTTGCAGCGGTGCGGAGAAATGACGTCAGCTCTCAAGTTGCGGCTCATTCGACGAGATCCGGCCACGCATTCAAATTCAACGAGGCCGACATTCTCGCTATAGCTGGCAACCACCTGAGCCGGGAGCGGCTTGAGTTATAGTCTCCCGCCCCACCCCCCCCCCCAGGTGTAATGACCTCCCCCTCCATATTCGACGTTGAGACTGTGCCTAGGCAGAGTTATTTATCACCTGGGAAGCGCATAGGCGGACATTGTTCCCAATCCTAGGTTCGGTAGGTCAGATAATCGAGCAACCATCACACCTACATCCAAAGCACTTGATGAAATTGCAGCAATCAGTAACGCGAATGTCTGCCATCAAACATTTAACACACCAAGTGCGACGATGCCGGATGAAGGGGGGAGCCGTGAGTGTTCATAGGTATACGGCAACATGGCGACTGCATCCTTGTGCATGAACCACCCGTATGTGCTTTTGTCACTGACGATGGGTTCGAGCAGGAATCCGAAACGTCAGGCTAATAAAGCTCTTGTCCCAGCGATCGTGCTTCCGTCCAGGGCCTCGCAAAACAAGAAAAACAGAGTAAGGCACTTTTACTAATTGCCGCGACGTGTGTCCCCACAGTAGCAACGCCCTACTGCTCTTAGTTTAGTTCAGATGTTGGTCCAGCGCGTCTGTCTCGTGACCGTTTAGGACCATACCAACTTAAAACGGACAAAAATCAAGTGATTTAGCGACTTTAGTAATCGATGACTCGCGTTCAGCGGTTTTGCCTTGCCTCCTCGTAAAAATTGGGGGACTGTTGTTTTTCGGCTTCCGGCATCCGGTCTGCCTGACAGCGAAGGTCGCATGTACAGAGTGCACTCAGTCGGTTCAGGGGTGCCGATGGATGCCGCCGTATGAACTAGGTCCGAATAATCCATGCCAAAGTGTGCGCATTTCTGGTCCCAGTTATGGAGGCCGGATTTGGAACCAGGCTTTAGGGCTGTTTGCTCTGCGATTGCCAAATCTGGTAACTAAGTCTTTATTTGCAGCACTCATATGAGATTTTGGAATGAGCGCATGATCGACCAGCACGGTAGGTCAGAGATAGCGAATTCTTCGTGGCATATACATCCTAGTTGATGTGTTCGTAGTGAAAGAAATGTTTTGCCGGTCTTTCACTTGAATATGGCCATCCGATTATGGAGGAAGTTACTCGTCATAGTTGTGTCAGTATTAGTCAGGCATACGTCACCGTTCACCATTCGGGACATATAAACCAAACACTGCCAATCACTAATTCCCTCGGACTGGTCCATTTCGAGTCACAGTAGTATTACTATGTCTTGAAATACTTGGGTTGGAGTATTCAATGCCCCTTAGACATTTCCATTCCATCCGCCTCTCGTTTGACTCCCGGGCAGCAATAGAAGAGATGACGCGGTCAGCTTAATGAGAGCTGTATTTTAAAAGACAATTTGGCGAGCATACATAAGCTTTCGATGAATTCTCATCAGGTATATACATTTATATTGCTATCGAGGTGACTAAAAAGAAGATGCAGGTAAACAGAAGTTTTTTTTCTGCAGCTGGGGTTTGGGGGAAGGTCTGGGTGGGTGAGGTGAAAAGCAAAATTGCCGTCAGCGTCGGCGCCTCTGCTTTGTTTGCTTATTATTTCGATTGCACACACTAAACCATCATCAGAGAACACATATGTTAAGGGCAACGGATGATTAAGGGCTGCAGCCATTATAGGATTCAGTTACCACGCTGTTCCATGTCTATCAGCACTTGGGAAGGAGATGGTCGTAGACTGCCGCACTCGTAGTATCCTACAGGCCAGAAACTGTCTCTATTGCGGTTCCACTCTGTAATTTTATGGCTGAGTCCCATGCTATTGGCCCGCAAACATGTAAACTAGCTATGCTTGTCACACTTGGCTCACTGTGTGGTCATGTGCCTCCGATCCGGTTCGCGCACCGACTGATCACACATCCAAAACGGAAGGAGCTCAGCCAGTCCCGTTTTCAAAAGGCCCCAGACATGCCAGGCTCACACGGTATTTCCCGAACGGTCGCCTTGTTGGTTAAGCCTATGGCCAGCAGATTCTAAGCCAATATACTGACGTCCCAAACTAGCTGTAAACGGGCATTTTTCAAAAATCCCCTCCGCAGCAACAGTTCCGTACATCCGCAGATTAATATCGCAAAATGAGACATCAACTTTCGTCATTTTCACATCGAGAGTCTCCATCAAGTCTCCAACATTCTGGCAGCTAAATACGAAACTTCGGGTCAATCGTTGTGTGCCAGAATATTAAACGCGAAATACTACTCGCTAAAACACTCCATTTACTCATCATCAGCCGAGAAACTACGCGACCTCCCCACCCAACGGCACGGGGAAAAGCAGGTCGACATGATGTAGGGACAGCGACCTTTTTACCTCCTCACTGACAAGAAGAGGAATGAGTAGAGACAGTCATAACACCTGAGGTGGATGAAAAATCTTACCGTCGAGCGCAAGTTCGCAACTCTCTTGCAACAACTCGCGCAACACCTAGCACTTGGAGTATAGATATTCCTAGTCATTTATTGAGGAAACACCGTAGAACGGACTGATTTTTCCGTCACAAACATGACAGTGAGAACTTCTGATCCCCTGGGAATCAGTAGAAAAAAAGATGCGATCGCTGGAGCAGTAGGTTTAGTGACCCGATGTTTCAGATTCTAACTTGAACACCTTATCAGGGACTGTAGCAGGTAAGGAATGCGATCACACAGAGTGCAGTATATGTAGGCCGCCGTTGCCAAGCAACCACATGCCTCATCCGTTTCTGAGGTTCGAACTTGTTGCGACGATGGTTTATTAATCGTTTACTGTTAGTCGTTAATTGCCCTCGCGGGTACTTGGTGTGTCAACTACTCGGCCACTCGGCCAGTTGTCACTGGAATTGCCCGGCGTCTGCGCCCACCCAGCATGACTATTTTTTCTGCCTGGGCACCCTCCGATCACAGAAGACGGGACCGGGAGGTCGTTGATGGCGGGGAGCCGGAGAAGCATGATCCAATCAGCGCGCGCCCCATGCATTTGTCGCCCCTCGCGGTTATCACCTTTTACATCTTTCACCACTGTGACTTGCATACAGTCAGGGTCCTCGAGTGGCTACAGCATGCGTTTATTAAACCTCGAGGATGCTCACAACACCGTAATCATTCAATAAACTCGCCCAGTGGACACCGATCGGCTTTCATGCGATGTCTATTCACTCGCACACACGCGGACCTAACCAACCGGCGCGCGTGCAAGTCCAGAGCTGACTTGGCGTCCGGGTACCCTGAACTGTAGGGAGCTTCTGATCAGAATGCTGTGCCTCCTTGTCCACAGGGGGTGAAAGGATCCTGATTACTGCGGAGGTTGGGGAAAATCAGCAACACTTCAGGCTTAGTAGTCACGATGTCAGGGTTTCACTGATCTGGATTGCGGGTTACGGTTGTGTCAAAACAGTAAAATGTGGCAATTCGTCATAGCAGACTCGATTTCCTTTTCAGTACTGCTCTAAGTGGCATACAGACTAATAACCTGCACGAAATAATACAATCCATGAAAATGTATAATTTAATCAATTATCATCAGTACTATTCACTGCTGCAGTAAGTGGGCTAACTCATGAAATGTCCACAGAAATTACTAAATGCGTTTTCGTTTCGCAAAGATTAATTCAGCAAGGCTGTAAAACCAAGCATCGTGCAGAATAATTCTAGAATAATTCAGTTACCCCAGGGGGCCGGGTTTCGAGAAAACTTCCTTCCGCCTGCTTCTAAAACCATGCTTCGTATAAAATGACTAATTAATAAGCGTGCATTTTTTATTGATTTTCGATATCCTTAAAGAATCAATTATATTTAATGGAAAATATGCATGCAAATATTTACCCCATTGCTCGTTCGGCAGAAAATTCGTCTTCTTTTAATTTTACACGCGCTCAAAGGGTATAATTCAGTTTAAATAAACTTTTCCAATTCCCGAATAATTGTGAACCCGACCTGCCTTTACACTTGCATTCAGGGTGCCTAACCTACAAGCAGTATAATTTCCGCGAATGGAGAACCGTGCATTTCTCCACCGTATTAAAAGGACATCATATGGGGTTAATAAAAGTAAGCAGTGGAGTTGAGTCGCATTGTTAACTTTACCAGCCACATTGGTAAATGCAGAGACATGACAATTTATGAAGGGCCACTCCGCGGGTATTAAAACTCTCATAATTAGAAACTTTTTAAAGCCGAATTATACCCTTCCTCAGAGTGCAAAATTGTGAGAAAACGTATGTTTTACCGAACGAGCAAAAGAATGAACATTTCGCGCATGTTTTCCATGAAATATAATTGAATCTCTAAGGGCATATAAAATCAATGAAAAAAATTCACGCTACTTAAGTAGTCCTTTTCACGGTGTATGGCTTTTGGATGCTGCCGAAAAGGAGTTTAGTCGAAAGCCGACGTCGTGGGGTAACTGAATTACTATAGAAATATGCTGCAAGAGGATTGGTTTTGCAACCCTATTTAGTTAATCTTTTCGAAATGGAAACGCATTTCGTAATTTCTGTTGAGATTTCATGAGTTAGCCCACCTACTGTACGTGTGCAGTGGTGGGGCTGTGGACGAATCAATGTGGGAAGGGTTATGGTAAGAGAGTAACGAATAATGTTGCTCTCTAATCAGTAATAAACGACGCGCGTTTAAAGGTATAACTAAACTATGATTTTTAAACAGTGCTGAGGAGGATTAAGCGAAGTTAACGCCCTCATGTCTGGATGCCGTGGCGTTATGTTTGCTAATGAGCTCCTCGTTCATGCCGATTTTCCTCCCAACGAAGAACATTTAGCTTCTGGACAGATGCCTTTTGTAAGCCCAAGGAGTCATGTAAAGTCGAAGGGCTATTGCCTTCACAGCCATTCGTCTCACTTAGCAGGTTAGACCCGGTTAGCTGGCATGCGGTTCGCAACGACGAAGTACTCACTGATGCCACTGTCCTTTTAGTGGCGCGTGAAAATCCTCGGTGTCTCGCTTTGTATTCACATAACCCATTTGCACTAGCCAATACGTCCTGCCTTTCCCAGTCCGCCAAGATAGCCTTGCGCTTTCAATTTCCTTTCCGCAATACTTTCCACAATATTATCCAAAACATACAGTACGGTAGGTGTGCTAACTCATGAAGTGTGGACCGGAATTCTGAAATGCGTTTACGTATACAAAAGATTACAAAAGTAGGGTTTTTAAAGTAATAGTCATGCAGTATGATTCTATAATAATTCGGAACTCCGGGATGCCTACTTTCGAACGAACTCCTTTTCGGCCGCATGCAAAAATGGCACTCTGTAAAGATGACTGGCTTCCTTACTTTTTTTCATTGACTTCCGATGCCCTTAAATATTTAATTATACTTCATAGAAGACACGTATAAACATATTCACTCGTTTGCTAATTCGGCAGAAAATTACGTCTTTTTTCAAACCTAATGCTTAAAGGAAGGGTGTAAATCGATTTTTTAAAAAGTTTTTACTTGTGCGATTTTTTTATTACCGTGAAATAGCCATTCACAAAGCATCACGCCTCTGAAGTTCCCGATGTAGCTTGTAAAGTTAACAATATAGCTCAAATTAAATGCTAAATTTTATGAACCCCATACGGTCTCCTGTCAACATCGTAGTGAAGTATATGGTTTTCTGTACGCGGAAAATATACGGACTGTTGTCTGGAAATCCTGAATTCAAATGTCATGACAGTTTGAGTTCAAAATTATTCTCAAATTGACAAAGTTGTAAAGGTATTTTGGCAGATTTTGAATAATTCATATTGACCCAACTGTGAAAATCTCGGCGCCTCGGTGGGATTCGAACCCACGCAGTAAGGCGATGGCTTTAGTACAGCCAACGCTCTAACCACTTGATCTACGAGGCCTCGCCGGACAACTCGAGTTTTTCACAGTTGGGTCAATATGAATTATTCAAAATCTGCCAAAATACCTATGAATTACGTGAGCCTGGTAGTCATCTGGTGGATTCTTGGTGAATTGCTTAGGGAATCCTGCTTGGGCAGTCAACTTACTGTATCAGATTTGGTGGATTCCAGACGTTGCAGTAGGTTGGGCGGGTAACTTGACCCAAGTGTGATAAATCTCGCGTCGTCTGGCGTGGCCTCGTAGCTCAAGTGGTTAGAGCGTTGGCTATACTAAAGCCTTCCCCCTTACTGCGTGGGTTCGAATCCCACCGAGGCGCCGAGTTTTTCACAGTTGAGTCAATATGAAAGTTTTAAAGACTGCATTATACACTTCCTTTAAGTATAAGGTTTGAAGAACACATCATTTTCCGCCGAATGGGCAAAAGAAGGAAGTTTTCATGCATGTTTTCCATGAAATATGATTGAATTTTTAAGGGCACCAGAAATCAACGGAAAAAATTCATGCTACCCAGAAGGTGGTTTTTTGCATGCAGCCGTCAACAAGTTCATTCGAAAGTCGACATCTTCAGGTTACTGACCTGTCAAAGAATTATCCTGCATGAGGATTGATTTTCAAAACGAAAAATCACTTCGGAATTTCGGTTAAAATTTCATGAATGAGCCCCCCCCCCTACTGTATGTGCTAGGCCTATACAGATTCGTGCGGTCTGAGCATGAGTGTCTACGTGCGTCTTCTCCTTCGCAGGGTGCGAGCCTCGATTCAACTCTGCCCCGCGTCTCCTACATCAAAGCCATTGATGTCTGGCTGATCGCCTGCCTCCTCTTTGTAATCGCCGCCATGCTGGAGTTTACCCTGGCAAGCTATTGGTCCCGTCGCGTATCGCAGCGCCGGTGGCGTTCGGAGGTGCGGGAGTCGGTGCGTTCTCTTCTGGCGCGAGTCATCTGTCCCTGCCAGTCGCCCAGTCCGAACCAAGTCCTCCTCAGATGCGGCTGCTGTGGCGTGCCGATGAGCCCGCACGAGGTGGTGGCGTCGCAGCAGCAGTCTGCACAACACCGTCCGCAGTACGCTGAGTGCTACTGTTACGCAAGGTGCCAGTGCTCGGCGGTGGAGACCGCCTGCCGATCAGTGAAGTTTGATATTCCCAAGAATCGACCCTGTCCTGCTCAAAAACGTAGCTATGTGAGTGCCTCTTACAATTTGGGTCTTTGGTTCATAAATGTAATTTAACCGTTCATGCCTTTTTGGCGGATGGGAGTTTTCTCTATCTGGGAAGAATGGGTGATGGAGATGGGATACGGTGGGAAATTCAGCAGTTTCAGAGCGGGCTTCTGACTGTTTGTCGCGCATGGGCCTGGTTGGACACCCGCAAATCCACCGCGCTAAGACTAGAGTATTAGTTCCTGCACACCTTGCCCCTAAACCAGTTTGTTCTTTTTAATCAAGGGTGACATTAGCTACAACACAAGCTGATGCCGCCCTTTGATTTCGCAAATTAGTAAAGCACAATTTGGGCCGTGGTGAATAACTAGGGCCTCAGATGACTTCACTTAATGTACTTCATGTTTCAAAGTGTCAAAAATGCTTCCCACGGGAGAAGAACTGCCAGTCACAAGTGAAGAGCCCCGCGATTTTCGTTAAATAGTTCGGAAAAAATAAGTTTATTGGAAAAGATAAACAAATTCAAATGTAAGTTTTCTACTTTGGTTCCCCAAGTCGTTCTCTGACCTGAAGTGTGCAAAACAGTTAAAATTTAAGCACTGCAGAAAATTGATTTTGTCCTGTTACTTCTGCTGGCTGAATGTTCTGATTGGCCAATGCCTTTTGGACTTCTCCTTCAGGTTGATTGATACATGAGTTATCAGAATGGATGGCATGTAAAAATTCGCGGCCTTTCTTAGATGAGCAGTCATCTACAATGCGTGCCTTGTCCCAGGCGAGTTCGTGACCAGATTCTAGCGTATGCATGACAACTTGGGACAGGTGATCTCGCCTTTTTACGCCAGTTGATATTCGGGTATTCGTATAGAGGTCGATTTCCCAGTTTGACCACAGTAAACCGTAGTACAGGTGTTGCATGGCACCTTATAGGCGACTTCCTTCTTACCTAAGTAGCCAATCCTATCCTTAACTCCAGTCGTCCCATACATCGATCTACAAAATATCTAGTATACCCAATCTGATGAAACAGTTTGAACAAATAATTCAGTTCTATATGATAGGTTTCGTTGTCAGAGCAGTGAGTTCATGCTCGGTTAACTTACTGATTAATCACGGTGTTTTATGCAAAATGCTTCGTTGTGCAAGCTGAAAAACTATGGCAAACTGTGCGTACATTATTTGCAAGTCAGAGCAGAGCTGCATCGTGGAATGCACCGCTACGTAGTCTGTGCAAAGAATTCATGGGTTTAGTTGACCTTCAGGGCTGATGATTATGACGACTGTAGTGGTGATTGGCAGGCACAACAAATTCTTCATGTTCGATTGGAAAGGAGGGGAATGCGTAAGTAGTGGTCGTATCCTTCGCTCACGCAAAGGCAGTAATTAAGGACACTACGCAATCCTACGAAAATGTCGGAAAACAACAGGGTACTTTGTACTGAGTTAAAATCCCCGAGGAGTGGATGAAATACGCTTAAAAAACGTGAAACACTGCTCACTGTGCTAGACATATTCGCGCAATTTGGGCAAAACGACGTTGATTACTACACAATCATCCAGACTTTAGTTGCAATCTCGCAAAGATGCATGTTTTGTTGTAAAATTGACAAAAAAGGAGTGCTTTTAATCCTAAATTTAAAGAAGACATTGGCGGGCCATATGGCGTTGAGAGGACTTCAGTTTAGAACCCCAGGTGCATAACAATAATAATATAAAGATGGGGGGCATCTTGCTAGACAAATGACTAGAAAGGAACAGCTGTGCGGCTGTTAATTAGTCCGAAAGGGAGCTCCAGGGCACAATGGAACGAGTGAGCTCCGTAATAGGATCGGTTAACGCCCCTCCACCATAAGTATTATTGTACTCTTACGAAAATTAACTGTCTCCGCTCATGAAAACCGAAAGACGATCGTGCATGGCTGGCGGCCATGTGCAAGGTGAATTCATACCTTATGTACCAACATCACCGACATTGTCAGGGAGTGGCCCTTTCATATGCGTCTCACAAACACGTGCTGTACACAAAAACATAGTATACTGAGACTTTTATTTCAACTGCCGAAAAATGCCGGTTAATTGTCACTCTTTTGAAGGCAGACTACCAAAGCACAGTCCTCTTGCAACTCAACAATCAGAAGTCCTACAAAGTCAGCGATGCTTTAAGTCTCAAGTAGCTACTGGCAAAGGTCAACATACTTCTGGCTCGACTAATGGAGGACAAGGCGACCAGCGTTAAAGACTGGTATATTGTAGAACCGACAGAAACAACTATGGCGAAATAATACCTTCTCCCAAAGGTGCACAAGCCAGAAGTTCCCCTCCGAGCAGTCGTCTGACGCCGAAGCACACACGATCGAACCGAATGAGGGGATGATGAAATTTGACGTCATCTCACTATTCACGTCCATACCGCAGGCTTTTGCAGTCGAGATGCTCAATGAGCCGCTGCGTCAAAAATACAAAGAGGGCAGTGTCCAGTCCACAGCTCATGACACAAGAAGGGTGGTCACGATTGAACGAAATGATAGATTGGTGCCATTTGATGTCTTTTCAGTCTTCGCATCCATACTACAGGTTATCGCGGTCGAAATGCGCAGTGACCTGCTGCTTCAAAAATACAATGAGGGCAGTGGCCAGTCCACAGCTCAGGATTTAATGGGACTCATAGGGCACTGTCTCAAGACATCCTCTGCCTTCGAAGGGAGCACATATGAGCAAATTAAGCGCTCTCCGATGGGCTCTCCGAGCTCATTGTTGAGGCGGTTCAGCAAAGACTAGAGAGACGACTGCTCGAGGAGAACAAACCTCAGTTTGGGCGCCCTACGTGGAGAACACCTTCGTAGTTTTCCGTCTGGGTAACGACTGACAAAGTACGAGAAACAACTGAACTCAACCATTACCGACCTGCAGCTCACGACAGAAGAGGAAGTGAAGGACGAGCGTCTATTCTTAGATTTTCTTGTCTGCCTCCAAACGCACGGTAGACTGACGATGTCAATCTACTGAAAACCGACGAACACGCTGCAAGGGTTCAGTTACGACAGCAACCACCCACTGCAGCATCAACGAAGCTGTACACGCACGCTAGACCGTAGGGTGGAAGCTCATTGCATCACGCCAGCTGCCAAACTGGACGAGATGAAGCTCCTCCAAGACCTCTTCAGGGCCAAAGGACTCTGCGGGCAGTCATTGAATGGAGCCGTAGGCAACATAGGAAGCGGAATGAAGGGCATGGTCAGCCAGAATCGTAACGGGGCATTCCGTGCATGAAAGGGTTCACCGTCGCTGTGGCTAAATCCATCGCGCCGCTCACAATAGGCCTTGCCCACAGGCCTGACTCAAAAATCCGCTAGGAAAGTGATGCGGCCAAAAGACCGAGCCCTAAGCAGGAGATGTCAGCTGTTATCTACCGACTTCCCTGCAGCTGCCGCACGTGTCACTACGTCGGCAAAACAGTCCGACGGCTGCAAACGCGAATGTGCGCAGATAAGTTGGCCGAGCGAAGGTTGGACGCAAAGTCGGAGGTAGCGCCCCATGCCGCGCAAGTGGGGCACATCTTCAACTATGAGGCGGTTGAGATTGTGGGCTGGGGCGATGATCATAGAGCAATGCGGATGCAAGAAGTCCGGATGTCCACCGACTGCTCTGTCAACCGCCACATCAATTTGCCTCTCCCCTATCTGACTTCACCAACCTTCTTAACGGGGAACAGTTACGGCGCGGGACAGTCGGGGCCATCAACTACCCGCCTCCCCCCCCCGGTGGACGAGGGCGGGGGCGATTCAGGTCACGGTGACATAAGGGACGGATGCAACCATACAGGCGGCATTAGCGGGCCCCCCATCGAACAAAGTGGCCATACAATGAGAACCGTGCGCAGGCCTTCCCGGTCTCTGAAAATGCGTAGACGAAGCAGCTACTCGAAAAGTCAGACCTCCAATAGACCTCGCCGGTGAACGCCTCTCTTCTTTTGACAAAGTAGGCATGAACACGCCTTCATAACGGTATTCAAGTTTGCAGAGGAAGGGTGTGACTTAGTATCGGATAAGCAGCGTGAGTGTACTCCAAGCGCTACAATCACTCGGTCAAATCCCGATTTGTATGGAGACAGAACTCGCTCGATTGGGGAATTTACTGTGCACAGAAACCTCCCTGGCGCCATTTGCCGCTGGCAAAGCCAGGGCTGGTACTGACTACGCCTAGTCATGCCTGAGGGTCTGTGAGACATTCTCAAGTGGTGTCGAACTAGCATGTGTTGCATTTGTCCATGGATGGCAGTCAATTGTCGTATGTTGCTGGTTGCAGGGAGGTGGTGTGTTTAAGTGGCGCATGCGCGTCCGATTTGAAGTCGGTACAGTGGCTTCGGTCAAATGGCGTCCCGAACAGCTCGCTGGGAAGGCGAATGACCTTGACGCAGCAAGGCCCTTAACAAGGACGCCAGACATGACCATGATGGCTGTCGGCACCATAAGTTCTTCCACAAGAACGCATCAGCGGAACTAGGCGCAAAAACAGATACTGGTGTTGGCAGAGAGAATAAACACATTTCTTAATAATGAAATGTTATGCAAGAAGCATCGTAAACAAATACAGTCGATATATTTTGACCTTGTTTTCAACTATACACCGGAAGCGCTCGGGCTATTTGCAGACCGCCTCAGAAGAAACCCCCCGTTTTTTCTTTGTGCCCGTTGTTTACTTACAGCTAGAGCGCGACACCGTCAAAGACTTGTGCGGCCAGACTTCGCAAAAATGGCGAAAAGATTATAGGCTTTCAATCTCCCTTATACTGCAATTTAATATTTGATGTTCTAGGGAAGTGTACGTAAACAGGTCAGTTGATTCTGCATTGAAAGCGCATTACTTGACGAGGATGCCCTAGCTATGAGCAACCATGATTTTAATTCCATTCAGTGCAATGAAGAAAACGCGTGAGCTTCATTCAAGGGCGTTTCCGATTTGAGTGCTTGCATGGAGTTCAAGATAATTTAATTGGGCAGTTTGAATCCATCATTCGATAACAGTATCCTTGGCATGTCTTTATGCAACCAGACACAATTCCTTTATCCGGCAATGGCGGGGTTTATGGCCGAGGTTACTTGACCAGAGGAAACGACGTCAGTGTACGTGAATGTATCGTTTTCTCCATCATCCTTATGGCAATTCTCAGCTCCCATTATTTGATAAGGAAGAGCACGGCCGCGTTGAATGGTACAAGTTGGAGACGATGGCGTAATGCAGTAGAAGCTCACTTCATGTGTGGAGCTTTCCAGGGTTAGGTTTGGTCCTGTAGCTCCACCTGAGTTATACCCCATGATGGGCTAAGAAAAATTATTAGTTGTGAGGACGCTGACTTTACAACTATCAGGAATTTGCATTTTTCCCATAAATGTAATCCAGAGAGAGACTATGTCACGGGGGATGGGGCACTTATACTCCAGCGCCTGGTTATCACTTGGTTCGCGCATCCCTGCACTTGTTTAAAACCCTGTTTACGGCCTCATTATTATCCTAATCCAGCGAATGGCCAGATAGACTTGCTAATGCACTTGTTTAGACGGTGTTGAACTCCGTCGGTTGCACTACAATGACCGTGCACTGCGAATTACCAAGTGCTTCCCGACCGTGACCTTCTAGTTTTGATAACACCCTCCTCAATCTACTAATCCAGCGAGTGGCTACGTCGGGGGGGGGGGAAGTACAGTGCGTGACCGATCTCATTAAATGGCCGAAATTCTGAACTGCGTTTTTGACTAGGGAAGGATTAACAAGGTGGTATTGTAATACTAATCCTTATGTAGCATAATTCTATAGAGCTTCGGACTCGACAGGATGTCGGCTTTTGAAGGCGCTTCATTTTGTCCTCGCACAGTTGTCGTCCTGGGTAAAAATGACTACTTAATTAGCATGCGTTTTTTTACGTTGATTTTCGATGGACCCGTAAATCCGAATGTATTTTATTGAGAAAATGAATAAAAAACTTGGTTTCGTTCATTTGTTCGACAGATAGTCATGTCACCTATATATTTTACAGTCGAAAAAGGAGAATAGTTCAGGTTTTAAAAAAGCTTTTAATCATGAGATTTTTAAGATCATTCAAATTCTATACACTCAGCATCGTACCTGTCCGTTTACCGCTGCTCCTCATGGTCCTACAGACCCACCTGAGTTATACCACATGGTAGGCTTTCTAAGAAGAAGTATTAGTTGCAAGTAGGCTACTACATTGCAATTTCCCTACATTTGCGATCCAGAGAGTGACTGTGTCACATGGGGAGGAGTACTCATAGTCCAGCCTCGGTTATCACTTCGGTCGTTCATCCCTGCATTTGCTTTGAGCCCTGCTTGTGTTCTCTTTATTATCCTAACCTAGCTATTGGCCAGATAGACTTGCTAACGCAATTGTTCGGACAATGTTGGAATCAATCGATTCCACTACAGTGGCCATGCACTGCGAATTACCATGCGGTTCCCCCCGTGGCCTTCTAGCTGTGACAGCACCCTTCTTATCCTACTAATCCAGCGAGTGGCTACGTCGGGGGGAGTATGTGCACACGCCATCTTCACTCACCTCCCTGCGCGTGTTCCGAGCTCTGTTTCTGCTCTCATTCCCCTCCTAATCCATCGAGTGCCTAAGTTAGGTTCACCAATAGAAGCAAAGAGACGAGTCCGAGGAGCCGTCTTGAAGAAGGAGACACGATGGCTGAGACAAGAGCTTCAATCGCCTGACGTTTCGGATTCCTGCTCGAACCCATCATCAGCGGCAAAAAGCAGATACGAGTGGTTCATGCACAAGGGGCTGCAATATTTATAGGATATAGTCGCCACGCCACCGCATACCTATGAATGTTCACGGCTCCCTCCCCTTCATCAGGGATCGTTGAACGTGATGTGATGGCCAACATTCGCGTCGTTAATTGCTGCAATTTCATAAGGACGCTTTGTTGGCGTCGGAGAAACCGGAAGACAGCTCCGAACGCGAATGGCTGAACACGTTGCAGCGGTGCGGAGAAATGACGCCAGCACCCAAGTTGCGGCTCATTCGACAAGATCCGGCCACACATTCGCATACGACGAGGTTGAAAATGGTAGGGGACGCTCACCGATCGTTCTTACAGAACTTACTCGTTTCGTTGTGCAATACGGGCTCTCTCGAGTCCAACCAGCAGCCGCACAGCGACGCATGCTACATAGGCAGAATGGTATTACCAGTCTCCCTTGTCTTTGTCGGTAATAGCATTATGAGGTTGAAATTTTCGCAAGAGGTGACAACCGCGTGAGCCGGGAGCTGCTTAAGTCATCATTTACTGGCCTCCAGCCCCTTAACAAGAGTAATGCTCTTCACATTCAATACTCGTGTTGGGACGTCGCCTAGGCGGAGTAATTGGCCACACGGGGAGCGCACAAGTGAACACTTCTCCCAACACCGCGTCAGATGGTCGAGCCATCATCATACGAACATCCAAAGCAGGTGAAGAAATTGCAGCAATTAACGACGCGAACGTCGGCCATCACATCACGTGCAACAATCCCTGATGAAGGAGGGCAGTCGTGAACATTCAGTAGGTGTGCGGTAGCATGGCGACTGCATCCTATAAATACTGCAGCCCCTTATGCATGAACGACCCGTATGTGCTTTTTCCTGATGGGTTCGAGCAGGAATCCGAAACGTCGGGCTAATAAAGCTCTTGTCCCAGCCATCGCGTCCCCTTCCTTAAGTTAGATATGTTAACTAATATTGTTTTTACCAGCAAACTATATGCTATCACTCAGGTGAGGCTTCAGAACCAAAATTCACCGCTTTCTGACTTGCATTTGAACAGTAATTCAGTCGAGCTATCTATGGGCCGGCAGCTATTAAGCTATGGATTGACTCCTGCAAAATCGATCGCAGCAGAAATCGCTGATCTTTTTTAGCATCCTGAGTCTGTGTTTACAAAAGAACGCTTGGACCTCGCAGTCGGTCATAATGCGCTTTCATTGCCGAGTTGCATTATTATGCAGCGACATCACCTCCTTCTGCATGCCTTTCCTAAACTAATAATCAAATTAGGAGTAGCTGTTTCGCATTTTCGGTTTATCCTCAGATTCAGATGACTGACCTGTGTGTGCTATCAAACAACTGAAAAACGCTTCCTTCCTCTCTGCTTTTTTGAATGTGCTCTCGCCGGTGATGCAACCATCAACCTCAAAAATAGATGACGAGCTTTTTGGATACCCCAAAATATTTATGCGGTATGCCCATCCTACAGTGGATGGCAAATCCAATAAATATCCGGTGATGAAATCTAACTGCACATTTGCTATGATTAATGCCTACACAGTCGCCGTTTTTGTTCCTTCGAGTGCACTTGGCACCGAAGAGTAGAAAACCCAAAAGTGCTTTCAAATAAAAAATAGTTATTTAAATCGCACATCGACACTGCCCAAAGTGAAGCAGGGTAATAAATAAATTACTATGCAATGAGATGCTGGATTTTTCCCTGAACGGTTCTTCTCCTTCCTGTTTAACCAGTGCTTGTGAACTTTTCACCGCTAAAGTAGTGTACATTTATTTTATTGATTTTCGGAGTATTTTTCATAAAAACAGGTACATTACTCATGCTCAAGTTATAGAGTACCTGATGTCTAAGTAGCACTTGACGAAAGAGAATATCTGGTTCTAGCAGTCATTTTTAAGAAATCGTTTTAGACCTCTTAACCATAGCTATATTAGTGCCGCAGTAGCAGTCGCGTGGCAACGTAGGAATAGAATGTAATATTTTTTACCATAAAACACACAAAGATGTGAACGTCCGTTTTTGGCCTATGTTTCCTCGTCAAGTAGCTGGCACACCGTATACTATGTCATTAGCTGGGGTTATTTAAAGTTCTGTGTGGAATGCGTAGTCTCCCGTTAGATTGATATCCGTTGTTTGCTTAGTGATTTCGTAGTGCCGATAGTGACGATTAAATAAGCTGGGTGGGGTTTTTTGAAATCTCAATTTGGCAAACACGTGTTTTCCGTAACTCGTCATCAGGCCAAAACAGTTACATAGACGATGAAATTATCGGGGCCAACGCCGACGCCAGATGATGCTTGCATTTCGCCCCAACCTCCTGATGGCAGTGATATGTGCACAACGTACCCGACGTACAAACATTACTCACAGCCACTCCACTTAATACTGTCACTAGGCCTACCCTTAGCGTCATCCCATAACGCTGCAGTCAGAGAGCGTGGAAATGAAATTTGCGATGCATCATCACCAAATAGTTTATTATAAACCCCGTTACTGGTGTCCCCGATTTCTGAGTCCGCATGCTTTGTGTTTATGCCAAAGTCCAATCATTTCTGCTCTAACTAGCTCAGAATTTCACTGCTATCATCCAGAAAATCCAGAGTCGGGCAGATTTTATTAGACATCTTCATTTTCCACTTACCTCAATATCCAAGCACACATTTCACGTCAAGAAACAACAACCTTGCAAAATGAAAGGCTTTCTTCAGTTCCTCTGTCCATCGCTCTGGCCTCAACATGCGAATCGGAAAACAATGGTCCGTTTTCATGATTTTCCACCCGACACCAACTTGTGTCTGGAGTGATTTTCACTTACTGTAAACAGGGATTTGTGGATGCTCACCTCAAAGTCCCTATCTCCTTATGTGTTATATACGTGTGTGTTGAGCCCTCATCACCTGAACGTATGGTGCTAATTCTTGCATTCTTTTACACAATTATCCTGAGATCCTCGTCTGCCTAGTTGATACTGAGGGAAATATCGACAAGATCAAGTGAAAAATGATAAAGGTGAGAGGGAGCCGTATGTAATGGTAGTGGGGACGATCATCGATCGTTTTTACGGAACTCACTCTTCCCGTTTTGCCTTTGGGGTCTCTCTGTCGTGTTCAACCAGCAGCCGCAAACCGGCGCACGATACGGATTACGGGATCGAGCACCAGGTGTTCCACACTTTGAGGTTGGGTATGACTGGCGGACGACGGCTAATGAGCTAGAAATATCTATTCCGGTCTCCCTTGTCTTTGTCGTTAACGCTATTCACCAACGTATGAGTCATATGCTATTAAAGGTACGATATTCGGGCAACAAAACCGAAGGCGTTAACTTAAATGGGGCTGATTTTTCCTCAGATTTTCTGGCACGTAGAGAGTTGCAAATGCAGTTTGGTTCGTCAGGCTTTCAGCACGGGTGCTAGATAAAAACCCGTGTTGCAAATATGAGGAATTTTCTACCAGGCACATATTACCGACTTAATGTGGAAAGAATGTGATTAGTATTAGGGCGTTTAGCTGATTTGAGAGTGGACATGCATACTGGCTTTAAAACGGAAAAAACAGTGTCAGATAATTTACTCTATGCTCGCACATTATTTTTGTTATGACGCGGAGGACAGGCAGGTCACGGACACGAGGGGTTACAACTCGTCAGATAGATGCGCTGCTTATATTGGCTCCTGTGCGTTCTGGGACATTCCATCCAATGACGTGCCAGTCGTTCTAGAATGTTCCTGCCCTGGGCGTGCTGGTCGCTGATTGGCCACCGTGTGCGCGATAGCCCCTCCCCCGCGGAAAGCGTCTGGAATGTTCGACCAGCCATTGATTGGGCAGCGCACGTGAGCACAGCCACTACACGTGCTCTGCGCTGCATTGCACGCCGGTCGACCGTCTAACTTCACACGTGTCTCACGCCGGCGGACGTGGCTCTACGCCGCTTGCACCCTCCATAACAATTTTCAGTACGAATTAGAAAGGCGTAACGAAGGGACTGCTTACATTCGGTGGCTAACTAATGTGACACTCAGCTCGTTCATAAGGTCCCTGATATGCATCATTTTCTGGAAAACCTATATGGCCTAAATTTGCAGTCATTTATATTTATTCACTCAGCCTACTTCAACTGCAATTAACACTCAACTATCGGCTTGTTTGCCTGCCTTTCGGTCTAGATCCGAATTCATCAATATAAACCCAGAAGTACAGGTGGGGATTCTATGGAGTCGAACAGTTTACAGTAATTTACCATTTTTCTGAGCAAAAACGGTAGGTTTGTTCAATTAAGCCAAAAGGCAAAGTCCAAAATGGTTATTGCAACTTAATTCATATAGACCGCTTTTATCCTATTCGCTGCAGTACTTTTAGCGCAGTTGGGGTCGGCTTTGTCGATACATCGTGCGTCAGAATTTGCGCAGTGAGTTCTTTCGTAGACCGACACGTAGACGATGCAAATTAATTAAGTGCCTCCCCATTGACAAGCGACGGTGGACTTGCGTAGTTATCGAGTTGTCCACGTTTCCGTATATAGATGAGCACTGACAGCCAATTATCCTTATTACCGGACTTTCGGGCACCTATGTCAGTTTAACCTTTCCAATCGTCATGATGGGAACAGCGGAAGTATAAGCAACCAAGCCCACTGTTTGGCAGTGACTTGACTTACTTTGGACGCTAACTTTCAACTTATCGGGCAGGACGGAATGCATTTCTCGCCTTTCATAAACAGGAAAATGTAAATGAGCACTGAATTGCCCTACAAACCACTCATCTTCATAGAGGAACAGGCATTCATCTGGAAAAGGTCTTTCGGAAGTTCTGGGACCTGGCATTAGAGAATGCATCGGCTCGTCAAAAAGCTGGATGCCTTCTCGAACGTCCCTAATACTGCTACTGTCATGCGGTCTTGCGAATTTCGATAATGAAATTGTCAACTTCCTCAATTTCTACCACAAGGGTGAAAGTTGAAATGTAGGATCAGTTGTGCAATGATTTACCGTACTAACAACACATGCCTTAGCTAACAGTCCAGACACATGTGTTTCGCCGATCTTATGCCGCTGCCTGACGCAGCTGCGAGGGGTTCGGCTCGTCAATGGGTCTTCCAGCTTTGCCCGTGTGTTTTCTGGTATATGAACTCCAGTTTCAACTTGCCTTGTTTAATTTCCGAGGAAATTAATGCGCGAACTTGGAGAAACCAATTGAAACAGACCGGGGACCCACTGACGAGCCGAACCCCTCGCAGCTGCGTCAGGCAGCGGCATAAGATCGGTGAAACACGCGTGTCTGGGCTTTTAGCCAATACCTGTGTTGTTAGTACGGTAAATCACTGCACAATTCTATACTACTGGCTGCCTGTTGGCGGTTTGTGAATATTAAGCGGTTATTCCGCAGTAGCTGATTGATTTCAGCTCAAATATTCATATAAAACTTTGGACTGTGCCTGGAACGGTCTGTTTCGAAATAGTTACTCCAAGTCCGCGCATTAATTTCCTCGGAAATCAAACAAGGCATATAGGATCAATGCTGGGCGATCGCAGCTCATTCTTCGAGCGTGACTAAAAATTCCCAATCTGTGCGCTTTAGGCCAGGCAATGCAAAGAGTAAATTTCTCAGATGGATTAATATTTCGGAGTCTGTAGCGCCTCAAACGAAATTAAGCCTTCTGCCTCGGGCGCACAGGGGTCATGTGATCACGACCTCCGAGCGTCAGAACGTGAGCGCGTTCAGGCCCACAAACGCCACTACCAACCAATCAGCTGATCGGGCTGACACTGACTGACTCTCACCTGACGTATATTCACTCACGCCCGCACGCTCACACGGACGTTCGCGAACCCACAGCTGGCCCCGCGGCCAGGTACCTGACACCCAACAGGTAACATTACTTTTCTGTTCTTTATCTCTGTATTCAGGAGAAGCGCCTGGCTCAGAACTTCTGCAGCGGCGACTGCTCAACAGTCTCCTGGACACATGAGGAGCCCAAATCCCACGAAACACAGACACGTCGACGTCGTCAAGGCGACAACAAGAAGCACCGTCACAAAAGTGCTCGGTACAACTCCTCTTCCTCCTCTGTAGCTGTCTCCCCCTTGGACTGTCCAAACCGCCTCCCCGCCTCTCCAAAACGGCGTCACATGGAATGCAGTGACGACCACCTACCGTCCCCACCACCGGCACGTCGATTGGCCAATTCAGGGGGAGCCGACGAGACTGGGACCGTTCTCTTTCACATGTCTTCCCTCAAAAAGGGTGCGACCGGCAGGAAAAAGCACTCCGTGAAGTTCAGCAAGGACAATCACCAGCAGGAAAGCCAGAAGCAGTTAGAGCAACAACAGCCCCTTCTTGGACGTTCTAGCGACGCCTACGACAACACCATCGATTTCACCAATCGTCACAAACCGCCAGTGCCACCGTGCCAGCGGGAGACAGCTACGCGAGAACGTCTGGCCAGTCTGGAGGTCAGCCTGGAAGACCGGCCGGTGGACATTGAGTCGGAGATTGATGCCTACAGTCGATTCCTCTTCCCCTGTTGTTTTGTCCTTTATAATTGTTGCTACTGGCTTTTTTACCTAATAATTTCAGATCCTGGTTTCATAAACTCCTAGCATAGATGACAGACGTGGCCGTCGTCTGTGTGTACAAAGCTAGTTTCTGCATTAGTTACTACCTCCTATGTCTTCGCTCCACCTTCGGAGGAGGACACGATGCACACACTACTGAATTTGATAAGTAACATACCGTGCTCAATGTGGAACAATTGCTCCAGCCCTTTATATTTACTTCACTTTCAATACCACCTAGAAGACATGACTGACGTTTGCATGCAATGCTCGAAAATCCCCTTACGTGTGCATGTAAACAGCTTAGGTTACTACTTGAAAACGGCAATTTTCATATTCTTTTGAGGTGTTTGTTTGTATTTTGGTAAAATGGCGATAGAAATGCACCAGCGCACTGTCCTGGAAAAGAAACGTGCGCCTTCAGTTACTTTTTTATTTAATTTACTTATCGGTCAGAATTTCAGGTCTTTACAAGGCAGTATTGTCTACGTTGTTAACTCTAGTGGGTTTATTCGCATTTGTAAGTTCTACTGCATCAAAGCTATTGCCAATTTACTTAATGTAGGTAATGAAATCAGTGGCGAAATACAATCAAAATGTATATACGGCATATTCTCCCCTTTCTGGGTTTTTTACGGAATCGACCGGCACATATTCGGTGTCCACATTAGGACAGATGCTTCGAAACCGAGTACGTTTAAATACAACTAACCTTTCATCTAAAGGCAGTAGACCAGTCGTAGATCACTCTTTCGCATAGCATAGTGCCCTTGAGAATTGCGTCAATAATGACGCGTCTAAACTGGTGCAGCACCGCCTTCATCAAACACCCATAACCATACCATGTATGAGGAAACAAAACGCACGGACCTGCACGACGACACGACAATTCGATGATGTCCACCGTGTGCTCAAAAGCAAGGTAAGAGCAGTGACGGTGACTTGCGCGTAACTTAGTTTATGGTGATAATAGACTTCCGCAACATCTACCGCACTATCTCTTCCCCAGATTACACATTGACTAGGATTTTTCACTAACGACCACAAAACCTCAACAGGGCTCAGAATGACGAGGATGACTGGACAGCCATGCCCATAATCTGTACAGTGCGCGACCGATCGCAAGAAATGTTGGCTGAAATCCTGGAATGCGTTTTCGATTAGGAGGAATTATTTAGGCGGTTAAAATACTGATTCAGAAGATGAAGATGCGATCACTGGGACAAGAAGTTTATTTGCCTGACGTTTCGGACTCTCACTCGAGCCCATCATCAGAGACATTCGCAGATAGAGGTGAAGGTGGCACCAGGAGTGCAGTATTTATAGCACGTGGCTGCCGTGGGACCGTATGCGCACTGCAATTGACAGTTCTCACAATCGCCGCTGGGGTCGTAATTGATGCGGCGGTGGCTTGGCGGTCCGAGTCCGAGTTGTTAATTGCCGCGATTTCGTCATCCGTGCTCGATGCTGGTGTGACGATTGCTCGGCAAACTGGCTCACTGTCACCGTGATAATTGCTCACCCGCGCCCTCCCCACGTGCCTGATTCTCCTGCCCAGGGAAAATCGCAATACGGAATAGGGCACCGAGAGGTCATTGTGTTTTTTGATGGATTGCGGGCCTGAGAACCATGACTCGAGCAGCTCGCGGCTCACGCGGTTGTCACCCCTTGCGAGGATTTCGGCCTCTTGAAATTTGAAAATATGGCCGGGTCCCGTCAAGTGTGCCGCCACCTGAGAGTTAGCGT